ATATTAATCAGGAATATTGTTTGTATGAATAAATTTGAGACACGAAATTCCATTGTTATCATAATTATGTATGTATTATAGTATATTCTGTACAAGGGAATGCTGCCTGCATTCCCTTTGGTATCACTTTATATATTATGGTAACAAATAAAACTGAAAATAAAAACCAAAAATGAATTTACAATCGCTTCCTGTCCGAATCTAGGCAAACTATAGCTAGAATTGATGCATTTAAATTATTGTTCCTTGTTAAATAGTTTAGTGAAGTTTGCCTATACATTGGAAGATTTTTGGTATTGTAGATCTAAGCACGCATTTAATACAGCCCTACTGGACATCCCACAATATGCAACAATTGAAAACAAACTAGGATATGTAATGGAAACTAAAGATTGTTTAGGCCAGGAGAATAAATGTATTCGTTTTAGAAAAATAACTAAGATAACGTAAAAGGAAAGTACAATGCGATAAAAATAACAATAAGGATGTCAATAACAACGACTTGTTAATTGGAAAGTACGGAAAAAATACATATTTTTCTATATAATAACATACTGATCTCATTCTCGGAGTCAGAATTATTATCAACCGACTGGTTTTTCTATATTCTTTGTTTGTGCTAGCACTTCCCAACCAAGAAGGCTATACAGAGAGTCAAGATACTGTCATACGTTTGTTATTTATAAATATCCTGTGATATTTGATTTATTTACGTCAGTTTTTTAACGTAAATAAATTAAACATCATCATTAATTCAAAAGTTTTCAATAAGTGACTGACAGTCACTTATTGAAAACTTTTCAAGCCCGCAAAATTTTGCTGGCTTAATATGTATGTCTCGGAGAGGCTTAACAAATGAAAGGTTGAGAAACCCTTATTTATTTATTAGGTTACAATAAATTATTATAATATATTATATTAATATTTAAAACACAATTCTAAAAAACTACAAGTCCTATTGTTCTTTTTATCGTATTGTTATAAAAAGAAATGTGGGAACTGTGTGATAAGTTGTGATATGGCAAGAATAAAAATATTTATCTTAAAAACAATACCTGACAGTAAATTCGGCATCTATGTTAGAACTAGGTGTAGTTGTGTATAGTTACATTTGTGTAGGGAATGCAGAAATTATTCAAAACAAAACTTGTTTCCGTATAATGCAGTTGCTATAACAATTCTCAATTCTAACAGATAAAGATCGAGGGGTAAATCTTTATTAAACAAATTCAAATAGGAGCAGATTCTTAAATCTACTAATTTTACGTTACCTCAAGAATTTTTCTACATAAACATCTGACTACTAGCTCTTCAGTTATTTTTATGAATGCGTATTTATATGTTTACTTTTCGGTTTATAAATTAACTATAAAATTAATGAACTATATGTATAAACTATTTGAGAATTACACTTATGTCTACCGTTGTCGTCACGGGATTGTGTGATGGCTTTAGTGCTGTTCATGTATATAGGTTGCCACTTACTATCAGATGGGCTGTCAAGCTTGTTTGCCATTACCGTTGCATATAAAAATAGCTATTATATACATTGTTAGGTATTCAACCAGTGGGTAGGTTGTGCAGATGGGCTCAATCTTGTTATGTCGTTTTGGCGGTCTTCTGCGGTTAAGAACTCCTTACATCCGTGCCTTCTAAAATAATTAGTTCTGTTTTAAAATTACATATTTGCATACTATCTAAGTGTACACTGTAATAATCCATCGCGCTAACTTCACGCGTATTCAGTATTTTGGTCACGGATAAAATTTAAATTAAACTTTAGTGAGATGTTGGTACATAAACATTGTAGTTTTAACGTAAGTTTGTTTGTGGCAATATATAAATGTTATGCGAGTAAGCTTTAATCTCTATTTATACATATTTTATTGTTTAATATACTGTCCTAATTCATGGATTCCTTCCATTTTTATTTTGTATTATTTGTGGCAACGACAATACAATTGTGTATTGCTCAACATTATGCTCATTTTATTCTTGATATCTAGTGTTTTAATTGATATTATAAAATTTATTGTATAAATGATTTCGATTGATTTGTCTTCAATACACATGTTTATTATGATTTTGTTTGAAGAATTGATCTGTGACGTTAACAGGCGAATGCCTGTTGTATTTAGTATAGCTGAATGAAATAAACATTTACTTAGTATCATTGACTGTTTTATTACTACTTTAAATTAACAACCTATTTAGATATGTAAACTTTATTAATGTTAGTAAATGATAATTATGTTTTTATAGAAAAAAAATACATTTATAGTACTAATAATAACTTCTGATTGTACAGAGAATACAGCCAATAATTACGTAGCGGTTTCTATGTTGATTATCGCATGCCGTCTACTTATGTTTTTGCGTGTTTTTAAGAGCAACACGTAAGTTTCTTGCTCATTATTTTTCATCGTCTACGTTCCGAATGAGTAGATTCAAAAGTGCTTATATTAAGTTTATTTTAATAAAGAGAATTTCTATTCTATTCAATTATGCACAGCGTAATCCGTGGAGGATAGGTAAAGTGAGATGTAGGTGGCTGGAGGTAAAACAATCAATATGAGTTTGAAATAAGTAATTGTATTATATCCGAAGTTATAGTGAATATAATTTTCATACGTATAGAAAAGAATGTTAGTTAGTTAGATTTTAATTTATTTAGGTAATCAACTAATAGATAATAATCAATGCAATCAGATATTATTAGCAACTGTAAATTAAAGCTATTTCTACAGATATAGGTATGTATAGGGACTTACAAAAAAGACAAATATGGATAAAATTGCTTTATTGAGCCATGTGTAAGTAATGCATATGAAGTGTAAATTGAATAATTGGATATAGGAGTTTCCTAACATAAAACTAGCTATGAATAAATATAATTAGAGGCTGAAATATTTCAGTCACCGATACAAATAATCATACTATGAATACAAATGTTTGTACCGCACGATCAAAACCGCGACCATCGGAAGAACAGTGGTGTGCTAAATCATCGATGCTGGCCGAACAATATTACTATCAATGATTTGCTTTGATCTTTAAACCGTGCGGTTTGTAACCGTGTGTATGCGGGGCGCCATTCCATTGCATCGAATTAGCGCTTTTTGATTCCCTGATTATGTCAAATGAGTCGGGAAACCTGACGACAAATCTAATGTGTAGGGCCGGCATTAGTTACAAATCTAATGACTTAAAATGTCTTCATTGTAAAATTTTATGATTATAATATAATTATTAGTACCTAAGTGACACAATGTCCTTAGAATACTAGACCTAATTAATCTACAACATTATTCTCCTCAACAAGAAAAATATTGCACAAATTACGTTGCACTGGTATATTCATAACAAATTACCATACCGCAACCACACGCGTCGTCACAAATTCAAGGGACTGGAGAATTTCACTTGGTGTCTGGTAATTGCAAGCGCTTGTTATATTTTTAAATACAAAAGAATTATTTGTATTTCAATCATACTCATGATTACAAATGTTTGTACTGTACGAGGAATCGAAGTCACGAACCAGGGAAGTAAGGCTGTGTGCTAAACCGCTAGACCAACGAGGCCGTCAAAAATTACAAATTTAAATACTAACCAGGCCTAGTAGTGTAGCGACAGATACCAAACGTGTGGTTGCGCGTTTAACATAAGAGAGTATACAACCAAAGTCCTGTTTGTTAGTATCAATTCTTAAGAATATATTCACTATATATAAGGTATGCTTAGGTACTTAGAATCTATACTAGATTCCTTATTATAGGTATATTAAATTATCGGCTATAACATGATAAGACCGGCCAACAATTCAGCTTATGTGATACATATAAATAAGCAGTCTTATTATATTTGTCGAATAACAATCAAGTAGGTAATTATAGTTTCTATATAATCACTTAATCTAGTCACCATTTCAAATACAAGGCACAACTTTCCAATAAAAACAAAAGCGTCTAAGGCTGACGATATACAGTCGCTCAATGGTATCCGAAGAGGGCGGGGCTAGCAACTATATGCGCCAATCGAATTCCATGAACGCTAGTTGCGGTTTGATAACCTGACGATTGATCAACTGTATATCAGCGGCCCATATCAATAATAAATTAAAAGACAAATTGGGAATACACCTCCTCGATTTCTATTAAGGTTAGGTTTTCTGTCTGCATTGAATGAATAAAACATAAATAACGAAACGGAATTCAATTAAAAATAAATGTTTAAATACATAAGTCTGTTTAAGAAAGCAATTGATTCTGCAATGAAGTAAAAAAAAGAATTATTTTTTTGAAAGGTCCTTAAATACTAAAAATATAAATAACAAACAACCCTTGATACATCAATATCACATAGTGCCATCTAGTCCCAAAACAAAGTAGATTTTGTACTATGGATATCAGGCAACTTTTAAACATATACCTTTTTTTCTAAATTAATAATTGTATGTATACAATATCACTCCAAGAGGTACCAACAGACAATATTCTAAATAAAAAAGTTTGTGCAGGAATAGAACCCGTGACCATCAGTACATAACCCGTTACGAGGCTACACAGTCAAAGTTGTAAAAAAACCAATCGAGATTGCAGTCAAATACCAATTAGGCCAATACTGTTTACCCTCACCTTCTACAAAACATATCCACATACATTTTTTTTATTTATTCCACATATTCTCTAAACTTCTCTATCTTGTCTAGAACATCTTTGAAATGCCAAAGTGTGTGCAATTCTCACAGTGCTGGTGTCACCTATTTTATGTAGCAAACTAACATAAAGTGGGTGACACCAGCACTGAGAATTGTTAGTAACTATTTTTTGTATTTTATTTTATAGTTAACAAAATTTGATGATGATCAAATCTCATCCAGTGGCATTGGGGTTATCACATTAGGCAGTGTTTCTATTTTTCATATGTTTTATTACAATTAGCTTTATCTGCTGTATACATATGTTCTTACAATAAAATTAATTTTGCAGATATACTTAGTTATGTTGGATTGTTTCTGAATTCTTTAAAAAAATTACTTGTCTGTAAAAAATTTAATACTGACTAGCACCCAAATGAAACATCATCCATACCCTAAATATTACATCTAAAATAGTTGTTTGGCTTTAACACTTCAGAATTGTGTCATAGTATATCTCCAGTTCATATCATACTTTTCTAAAAACATTAGGACCAATTAATATACATTTATATGCATATAATTTGGTAGCACCTTATACAATACAAGTTTACAACATATCTCTTAAATTATCATTAGAAGACTTTTCCCATATCTGTCCTGATGTATACAACCTATATACCTTATTGCTTACTAAGCTCTGACCAAACTTCAACATTGCACCTTCAAACTTATGTTGAAATACCTGCATCTGTGTTTCATTGTATCCAGCACCATTGGGAAGGTAGGTCTTTGGATCCCTACATTCTGTGTACTTATGAACTCCTAGTATATCTAATGGCACAATTTTACTACTAGCATTTAGGTCAAAAATATCATCATAAGAAGTCATTGAGTCCAAATTTCGAATATATACAGCCTTTAGGTTTTGAGGTAACATGTAGTAATGAGTTTTCTTCATAATGGTTGGATATCCTATCTCAGCAGTATCATCATCTTCTTGATTCAAACAGAACAACAGAGGTTTGACTTCAATTGTCCGTGTTTTCCTTGTTGGATCAAAATCATCAAGAATAGCTTTAACATTAGTATGAACACGGGGCACCAAAAATTCATCCCAAGACATTACCATAGCATGACTAGCTTTATTTGATTCATCTTTATCAAAACGAAAGTGTCTAAACAGACAGTCCAACTCTATTGCATTACGCACAATCTCATATGACTTTGCAAACACAAATGGATAGTTCAGTGGAAAGAATTGTATGCTCCATTGAGTGATATCTGCTGGTAACAAATTTAATCTTCTAATAATATCTTCAGATATCATGCTATCATAAATAGTAAATTCATTTACTCCCATCATGTGATGAAATACAAGGAACTCTATAAAAGAATCACGGGACACTATTGGCACCTCATTAGGTATTACACAAATAGCTGGCTCAATGTTATTGACAAATCGGATACTGTTCCTTTCTCGCGGCTTGCGCTTGGTATTGATTTCAATAATTCTATTAATTGGTGCATGAATTGGATTTATATTATAATTGTTCATATAAAAACTTACGCCTTTAGGCTTACCTAAGTTTTTATTAAGAGAACAATGGAATATATAAAGCTGATATGTGTTGATTGGCTCCGAAATGACTTTGAAAGTGAATCTTCCTGCTTTGGGTTTGGACACATTCTCCAGCCAAATATTGCATCTAAAATTTGGTTGTACATTCACTTTGCCAATAACAATCGTATCTATGTAATGTGCATGAGTTTGTGTTAGTTTCTCATATTTCTGGTATGATCTCAGAAAGGAGGAGTATGAATAGAAGCTATCATCTATTTCTTGGAATAACGGTGGGGTTTCTCGCACTTCCATAGAAGAGTTGCGCAGTATTTCTGACAGCATGGTAGCATTGAAACCCGGCCCGCAAAACTCGATCTCGGAAAGGCCGGGTTTACCGAAAAAGTTTAGGACCTCAAGTACATACCGCAATCTGTAGTATTCGTGCCGGTAGATGAGGAGCGTCACGATACTCACAAAACAAACAATAATAAGAATCAGCTGGTAATATTTCCTCATAGTTAGGCCTGACTTGGAAGCGGTCTTCATTTATTTGCCGGCAACTATAACAAAGTGTTTAAATGCCTTTTTTATATATTATTTTATTATCAAACACAATAAAATGATAATGGAGTATTTAGCAAACGAAACAGAGCATGGAAAACTTACTCAATCAAAACTGTTCCATCTTTATTGTATGACATGTAATGGGGTTCATAGTGGTTTCAATTGTGACTAATTAAGTACAGTGTATTAAAAAGGATCTATACAATAGTGTTTGTCAATATAATCACAATCACCCAATCACGATTTCTACATGAAATAGTAATAATAAATTAATTTAATTATTTTTAATTCGTAAATAATTGTAATACATCAGATTTTATCACAATATTGTTATTTGACAAATGAAAGTTGTTATCACAGTTCAGAAAGATTCCAATTGACTGCTGGACTGACTGCCACCCTTATATTGGATTTGACATTCTACTTAAACTTAAATTTAATTTATATGAAATAGATTTTTTTAAACGGCACTATCACTATTACAATTATGTTAGAAATAGTTTAAAAACTTTCAAAACACGTTTTACTTTGAGATTTATTTAATACACGCATAGAGGTATATTTTTTTTCTAAGCAAGTCATCCGTATATCAATTGCAATGTTTGCAAAGAGTGAATTATTAAAAAAAATAAGCTGTCATTATTTAGTATTGTCATTGTCAGTATGTCATGTCAATGTATGCTATGAGAGAGAATAAAATTCCGCTTATCATTGCATTGTTCACTTCGATTCTTTCGTATTAATAATTTATTATTTTATGATTGTTTCTCTTTATAGGCACTTCTATAAACTTATTTAAATTGTGTATTAAAGTAATAATTTGAAATATGTCTGCTAATAAAGAAGATACAGTACGACAGTTTTGTGATGTGACCGGTGCAGACGAAGAAAGCAGTAAATTCTTTTTAGAATCTGCCAATTGGCAACTTGAGGTGAATAATTTTCTTTACAATTGTTTTATTTTAAGTGATAATAATTTGTCTGCAGTTTCAATCAGTACTTTTACAGTGTATAGCATTACTCTGCAAAAATGTAGGATAGTGTGTAAGATTTATAATTCTCCATTAATATTTCGTTGAACAATATTTGACTTTATGTAATTTGGTTAACATCGCTGTTACAAGACTATTTGTACTTGTAAGCCCTATTTAATAATTAATCTGAGTAGGTAATGAATTAATATTATGGGTCTTATGCTCTATTATATTCAAACTGTTATAGAAAATTGACAATGATAACTGTTGCATGTCATGATGACTGAATAGTTGAGACAATTAAAATTAATGTAAACAATTGTACCACATTTAAGGTAACCTATAAATAAATAAATAAAAGAATTAAACAGGAGCATTTAATTATTTTCTTTATTTATTTAATTTGGGTATCCTTGTCAAATGTCTTATGAATTTATTTGTTTATCTCTATTGTATTGTGTGTGTTTGTGAATTTTATCAAATTAATTTAAGAGAACAATGGCTACTTTACTAAAATTGTATAGTTAGATAGGAAGTTAAGTTCCTCATATTTGTTGTTTTTATTATTAAATGCAATTCTGGCATATTTGATGCTTTAGCTGAAGTCTATTATCACATTGTTGTGCTGATGATTAGTTTACTAGGGTGGCATTGAAATTTATTAATTATTGTGGGTCATAATTTTTAGTAAGTTATGGAACAGTCTTTAAACGTCTATAAGAGGGCTGACAATGAGGTGTGTGATTCCACTCACTAAAAATTACCTTAGCATACCTATACAGCACCTATGAGGGCCATTGCCGGAACAATGACTTTGTATTAGCATTCTACTGTGATTGGTGGTGTGAGCCCTATAGATGGTTCAGGCTAGGCTCAATCGCAGTTGCTGGCCTACCTCATACTTTTTATGTACCCATGCAAAGACACTTTTTCATTACATAATTTTCAGCTCTTCATAAAATATGTCTATATGAGCTTAGTCTATATTCCTGCTTTTTATATTTTACCATAATAGGTATGATTCCAATGTTTGATGAGCTGCTTGTGGTAAATAAATTAGCATAAGTGAAAGAAGTCAATGCATATTATGTAGCTGCAAGTAGTCTGAAATTATAACTGAAAATTCTATTATGGAAGAAAGTAGAAATTGAAATATAATAATAATAATAATAATAAAAACTCTTTATTGTGTACACATAAAATAATGAGAAAATACAGTAAATAGTAAAAAATAACAAAAGGCGGTCTTATCGCTAAATGCAATCTCTTACTGACAACCTAGAAGAGAGGACTTATGAACATAGAATAGGGTAGGTGGCACACATAAGACACTATTTATTATACTACTAGATATACATACTTACATTAGGGATAAATATATAAACCTACATATATACATACATATATACTACATATTGGAAGAAATGAGAAAAATAAAATAAAATAAAAAAAATATACTGTTCAAATAAATTTCAATTTCACTATTTTTCCACAATTGGTAATGAAACTACAGGTTATGGAAGTTGTGTATCCCTCATGTGATCTCTTACAGAGGAGTGATGGTCACTACAGTAAATAATAGAAAGTTTTTGTATGTCATCCATAGATAGCATTATCAAGCTTTTATGAACATGGTGGTAATGTAGAAGAGGCCACAGCATCAGGACCTTATGCAAGCTTATCAAATACTGACATGGATGTACAACCCACATCTCCAGTGAAATCCAAGGAAAAGGATAAGAAGAAACCCACAAACACAAAGTTTGCAACATTAGATTCTCTGCAGCAAGAGAGTTCGAGTGAAGAAGATGAAGGTATTTTATCTTACTTATATTATAAATGTGGAAGTTCGTGAGTGTGGATGGGTGGAAGTTTGTTACTCATTTACGCAAAAACTGCTGAATGGATTTTAATGAAACTTTACAATAATATAGCTTATACATCATAATAACACCAAGACTTCATGCACAACAGTCCAAATGATAGGCTAAGAGGAGAATAGAGTCCAAATTACAATTGCACTAAGTAATCATTATCATTGCCTTCATCCCATTATGTAGTCTATCCAACTTTTTCTTTGAAAATCAAGAAATAGGTAGAACAGTCATTAGCAACAATCCTCCCCCCTTTACAAGTATTGTATGAAAGGATCCAATGTCATAACCACCCTTCAAACCTTAGACATGTTATTTCAAATTAGCTTGTGGCAATAGATAATACATACAAATCCTGATGAATTATAAATTCTCCCTCTGGTGACAGAGTACAACATTATAATAAGTATTTCATCCTATCTAAAGCATCAAACTCAAAGTATGGTTGGATACCAAACAGACTTAGAACAGTTGTCCAAGAATTCTTTCGCAATGAAGCATCATGCTCGAAAAGTGTAAAGAAACCATCAGAACCGTCCAAAAGTTCAAATGATAGTGAATCGTTGGAATCTGACATTATAGAAGAAATTACGATGTTGAGAAAAGAAATTGAAAGATTATTGTATAAGAATAGTATGTTAAGGAAATAGATATCCAGATTAAAAAATAAAACAGACAATGGGGCAGGTCTATATACTACTATAGCATAGTGTTGGCGGAAATAAAATACTCTCTTCTTAGTTTTACTTAGTTGCTATACAACTCAGCATCCTTTCATATATATGAGGATTTTATACCAAAGTCTTATGTAATATGTACTTGATTATAACTTTTTATTAGAGAGGATGTTTCTAATAAGGCTTAGTGTTCACATCAACCCACAGCATGGTAATGTAAATTTAATTTGATTTATATTTTTTCATGTTGGTAATACTGAAAATTGTTTATAAATATGAATTGTTTATTGTTACAGGTCAGGCATTTTATGCTGGTGGTTCAGAGCGCTCTGGTCAGCAAATTCTTGGACCAGGAAAGGGCACGAAGGATATTGTTACTGAAATGTTTAAAAGTGTTAGAGAGTGAGTATACTGCGAGACTTTAGGCTTAATAAAGGAATCTCTCTCTCTCTCTCTTTCTCTCTCTCTCTCTCTCTCTCTCTCTCTCTCTCTTTCTCTCTCTCTCTCTATCTCAGCAGCTTCAAACTCTCCTACCAAATCGTTCGGTCATTCGTTACCTAAATACCATTTTCAAAGAGGGCGGGGCCCTGGTATATCAACCGTGCGTCAATCGGAGTCTATGGGAAGGTTAGACGCATTTAGGCAACGTGACCGCTGACCGATCTTATATCAGCAGATTTATACTCTAACGGTGTTATTCATAAAACTTAAGAAGCCTTTATAAGCCCACTATAACAGAGCTATAAAGGCTTTATAAAAATCTCTATTTATAAACGCTCTATAAAGCTCTTATAACTGTTCATTAGCAATCAGTTCTATAAACCCTCTATAAACCTATGATAAACCTCTGATAGTGAAAAACGTTATTCATAAACGCTCTATAGCGGTCCGATAAAGTTAAAACGTCAAATAGCGAGCCTATAAAGTTAACAGAGCCAACTCCCTACTTTAGCGGCATTTTAACCTAAAAATTGTGAAATAATTATTCCGTTAATTAATAAAATGGAAGCAATTACGACTATTTCTACAATTAATTTAATTGATATGTCAAGAAATCGTCAAAAAAAAACATTTAAAAAAAAAGTCAATCCATTTCTTTTACCAGATAAGTGCTTTAAATATAAATACCGATTCAATAAAAGTACTGCTCGATATATAATTTCCTTGGTGTACGATCAACTAAAACAAGATCCCAGAGGTGGTGCCGTTTCTCCAGAGTTGCAAGTATTAACTGCTTTGAGGTGTTGGGGACGAAGAGAGGTAAGTTTTTTTACAATACATTCATCAATCATATATTTATATATATATATATATAGGATAATGTAAGTTTTCATACAATTCAAACTCATAATTAATCTTGATATCTTTCATTTCATAGGTTCAGGATGATTGTGCTGATCTTCATGGACTCAGTCAACCCACAGTTAGTAGGATATGTAGTAGGGTGGCAAAGGCAATTGCTCAGCTTGCTTCCACTTTTATAAAAATGCCAGAAACTGTCACAGAGGAACGGTCTTGTATGACAAATTTTGAAAGTCTGGCTGGTTTTCCAGGGGTTACAGGGGCTATAGACTGTACCCATATTAAAATTAAAAAAACAGGTGGTGATGCAGCCCAATATTACATAAATAGAAAAGGATATTATTCTTTGAATGTGCAGGTGATAAAATTATGTATTATGTGTAAAACATATCTATATTGTTTGATTAACTAATTATCATTACATAGTATAAAACAAAGTCACATTAAAACTATACAATGCATGTTGAAGGGGGGTTATAATAGATTCAAGAGGAAGGTTTATATATATATATATGTACTAGTAATGTATAAAGTACTTAATTATTTTGATTTTAGGTTGTCTGTGATGCAAAACTTGTAATAAGAGATGTTGTAGCAAGATGGAGGGGCAGTACTCATGACAGTAGAATATTTACTGAGTCAATTATAAAAGAAAGGTTTAATAATGGTCACTTTAGAGGACGTTTACTCGGTGACTCAGGGTATCCACTTCTGCCCTACCTTTTTACACCAATTTTGCATCCTGTATGTAGAAAGGAAGAAAGGTATAACTCTGCCCATATCAAAACACGGAATAGTGTGGAAAGATGTTTTGGAGTGTGGAAACAGAGATTCCAATGTTTACTACATGGATTAAGTGTATCGCTGGAAAATGGAAAGGCAGTTATAGTGGCTTTAGCTGTGCTCCACAATATCGCTATTAGTAGGAATGACGATATATTAGGTAATTCTTTTAATGAAACACTACTTTATTTTTTCAATATTATTTAATAAACACAATTTTTACAAAAAATTTACTATACAAGTTTCTGTACAAACACTAATTTGTTTACTATGAAATGATTATCAACTTCAGTGCATTCATAATTTGCACTGTTACACAATTATTACAACTAGCGGTTGCCTGTGACTTCATATGAAAATGTATTTTTGTAAAAATCTTCCAGAATTAATTATTTTTGAAGCCTCACAGGTCTGCTATGAATATGTAACTTTCAAACTATTTATCCAGATTATGTGTAAAGGACAAAGTTTTAATGTAGTTTATACATTGTTGTTATTTATATCTTCTGATATATGATGCAGTCACAGTCATCCATTGAATATAGTTATACAGACATGTTTCTAATCCTTGTTGTTTAAGCTGTGTTTTGATAAGTAGCAATACATTATATTTTTCAATAAATTATGGGCCTGTAAAGTAATAATATTATTAATTTCAGAATATGAGAATCTTGAAGAGGTTACCATTCAATCACAACATCAAATTGATGAAGGAATGGGCAATGGTGCTGTAAGAAGACACTCTCGATATATTTTGGATACATTTATACAAAATAATTTTTAATAAAATAAATTATGTTAATTTACTTTGTTTACTATATTTTATATTTAACTTGTTACAAGTTGTCTACATACTTGGATTGTTTTTCTTTCTATAAAATATCAATTTTTGTTGTAGAATTTCATACTCCAAGTCTAAATTTCTTGCTTTCTTTCTTTCATTATCCATTTGTATATTATGTAATTCATTTTTGTTCTTGATCTCTGTATCAGCTATTTTTTGTATATAATTGTTTGTATTTGTGAGCTGTATAATAAAAAAAAAAACAATTATTTAATTATAAAAAATATTTGTATTTTATTGTGTATAAATTTATTTGGGTACCTTTCTTTTTTTATTACATTTCTTTCCTTCATTTGAAATATATTCTTTGGTGCTGCCACTTTGAGACTACAAAAGAAATAACAACATTTATATATATTAAACACCATATTATACCAACCAATTTAATAAATCATATCAAACATCTCTTTATAATCTTTGGTCCCAGTCATTTAGCACACAAAATATATTTAAAAGTTCTATATTACTTACATTTTCAATAATTTCATCAAGATCCAAAATAATTTCTGGCATCTCCGGTGCTTTTTCATTCAGTTTTGGTTCTCTAGGTTTGTCTGGAATCTTTTAATTACAACATGTACATTTATAAAAATAATATATATATGTTATATAATATACATTATGCTGAGTTCATTGATGTCATGATATAATAGATACTACATATTATATATTACTTACAGCGCTTACAGGTACATCTATTTCATTTATCTGAAATATGAACACAATGATTAATGAACCTACACTTACTACCTTTACTTTTTATATTATATGTAATGAAAAAATAAAAAATAGGTTACATGATCATCTGGAATTCCTGTTTTAGCGTCAGAGTCATATAGATTGGTGTCCACGTAAAACTCCTGCGGTAACCATGCCAATATGTCTGTACTGTCCACTGGAACAGTCACAGTAGGTGGTCCTCCACCAGTTTTATTCAGAGATCGCCTCTGGTCTGCTAAATTTTTCTTTTTACATATTTTGATGACTCCCCACTGAGATTTTATTTGTTGCAATGTGCGTCTGCTACCTTTGCACATTGCATTAAAACTGAAAAATATATTGAAGTGTAAGTACATGAGCAATAACAATTCACATATAAAATTATACTAAGCATGCAAGTTACTCTAATCTACGGGCTAGCTTCTACAAATAATAAATAACCTATCCATAACTTCCAGCCATCCTTTCTTTTTACAGTTGTTGGTATTCGTATCCGTATTCTTATTTTCTAGTACGGCGACACGTTCGCGGATCAATTCCAACAATAAATTCTATCAAAAATAAGGTATGCATTAAATGAATGTAATAAAAAGTTAAAACAAGTGAAATTCAAAGTCGTACATAAAAAATAATTTACTTGATCCAAAACTGGACAAATTAACAAATATTGATAAGTAAACACAATCTTACCTTGTCGTCTTCCAACCAATTTTCGCTTCGTGCTCTCTTTTGTTTATCCATTTTAAAATTTACTAGACAATGAAATCCGTAATATGTAATCAATCCGTTAATTCTAATTCTAACGTAACTATATTAAACCAATCGTAAATTATAACATGCAATTTTAAATAAAACAATCGTTTTGACAGAACCAGTGTTGCCAACGATGTTTTATTGAATCCACTATATAGCAAAGAAACCTCGAGTTTTACAAAATATTTAAATCAATATTAATGAATTAATAAAACTACTTGAAACCATTATATTAAAAATTTGCATAAAAATACATGCATATTTAAACCAAAAATCATTGTAATATTTAAAAACTATGTAGAAATACTTCTATCTTCCCTTAACTTTATTAAATAGAAATACAATTACAATAAAAAAATACAATTTTATATATATTCAATAGGAAAATGTATAAAAATGTATTAATTTACATAATTTGTTCAACACTGGAGGAGTTAATTCTGCTAGATTTAGTGGTGAAGCAACTAAAATAGCAACACTGATTACGTCACCTGCGTATATGGTAAAACAGTCCAACGTCAAGATTGCAACATAATGATAAAAACAGTCCTATAAACCTCTATTAGTTAGCGAGGCTTTATAATAGGTTTATGAATAACGCACTTCTATAAACCTTCAATAGCGCTAATGAATGTTTTAACTAATGAGCTCTATAAACCTTCAATAAGTTTTTTTATGAATAAGACCGTAATTGTATATATACATATTACTTGTAATAAGATTTTTTAGTATCTGATAATTTGCAAAATAGTTTGTTAAGTATATTATTATTAATTTAAGTACATTATTAAGAATATCTAATAAATAAAATAAATGAGGTAGATATTTTTACGATGACGTCTGTGAGGACCCGTCTTTCTGTTGCTTTGTATAATGGGTATCTGTTGATGTGAGATAAGGAGTGAAATTACACTATATTGAGGCATGCCATTTTAATCCTATGGAAAGTATAAGTGATACAGTCAGCGTCACATGTGCATTAGTAACACCTACCATCAGATGAGCCGTCTCCTTGTGTGCCATTCGTGATATTAAAATAGTAATAAAAAAATCCTCAGACGCGGAGCTGTTGTGTTTGAAGATGAGCCGTCTTCCGCAAGTAGGGGGCGTAGTGGACACTTTAGCGGCGCTGGATACAGGCTGGGTAAATGTTTTTAAAGACTTTTATATAGCATTCTTATATTTTATTATATCATGCTAAATGACCCAGTAACAACCCTCCTCATTCCCTCCCCCTTCCTCTTCTCTCTCTACCTCTAGCAGTGCTCTCAGACTAAATACGTAAAATATACCAGTTAAATTTCTTGCCAGCTCTTTGTAACGCAAGAAAATGTTAAAATTATATTAGACGAAAATAATACAAATGTATATAAAATATATACATGTATTATCAACATATGCATAATATACCTACAAATAAAAGAAAAGAAACCATCTTGGAATTAAAATAGCCTATATAAACCTTAATTAAATGTAAGTACTTATTTTATGCTACAGGTCAGACTGCTGATGATCATGAACAAGTGACACCGTCTAATTCTGGACAATCGGCACAGGTGACTCAGAGCTTTATTTTTTCGTTTCTTTATCGCAGACATTATCATTGAACTGATGGTAAACAACCATTATGCCTCCGCATCAAAATCTTTTAAAGCTGAGTATAGCTTGCGAGGCAAGCTGCTGGGGCCAGAATTGGGTGTGCCTCACCTACGCCACGCAGGCCACTTTGTCTCATTCTCACTTTGGTCGTTTACATTTAGTACATAAATCAAATTACTATGGGTGTTTTTTGTATTATTGAATATTTTTGTATAAATGACAGGAAAGTTCTCGGTCGGTGCGACTGCAGCTGTATCGAGAAGGCTTCACCGTGGACTCAGGTCCGCTGCGACGCTACACCGACCCAGAGAATGCAGAGTTCCTACAGTATATACGTAGAGGGTAAGTGTTTCATAGTTAAGAGCAGTCCACGCTATAAAATAATGATATGTATATTCTTCAATATCTCTCTATTCAGTCATGTGGGGTAGCCAGCCAGCCAGCCAGCATACAGCCAAGCGCGATACCAATACTTTCCATCGAAATTTTGGCGTAAATGTTAGAGTAAACCGAGTAGAGGGGAACGTAAATATTTCACACTAGTCAGATTTTCTTTAAACTAGATTGTTTTTAGTATACATAAGTGTAAACTCATATTACATAAACGAACGAAAAAAATAAGCTTATATTTACTATAATAATTATAGTAAATATAAACTTATTTTTATCGTTATTCTGAAAATTCATTATAATTTCAATGCCTTACATATTTTTTCAAATTTATATAATGTCTTGGATTGTACATACGAATAAACTAAAGATAGGTCCCGTTTTTTTATGTAATATGAGTTTACACTTATGTATACTTAAAACAAACTAGTTTAAAGAAAATCTGACTAATGTGAAACATTGATATTAGTTACTTTATCCTATGGACAAAATTTCATTGAATCTAATTAGTTATCGTTGGCTCGCCTTTTTTCAGAGTTTGCTAAACTTGTCAGGGACAATAATTGAAGGATATTGAGCAATCCTGAAGAGCAATTATCTCCTCAGGATAGAATGTAAACTTTTCAAAGGAGATATTTCGTTTATGCTTAAGTGGTAGTGGCGTTTCTTCTTATGCTTGGCAAAGTCTGCAGATTTTTGTTGTGCACAGACCTTAGTTTGCCATGTGTTTATTTAATTTGCAGTGTCCAGTGAGGGCCCTAGTCGTGATGCATACCTATAATCATTCACCAAAGTTTCATCAAAATTAGATTAATATTTTAGGAACATCTAGGACATTACTGTATGTTTGTTATACTTTAACGGGTTAAAGTTACAGTAGAGCATTAACTGTCATTTCTCTCTTGCAGTGAGATCCCGCCTTCTCTGGGTGGGGGTGCGGGCACCGAGGTACGAGTGTGTTTGGAAGACCGTCGTCACGAAGAATGTCCGCGTTCGCAGCACAAGCCTCAGGCGTTCACTGGCAAAGGACAAATGCTGGGCAGGTCTGTGTGCTTTATGTACATATTACCTTTGTGATGTAGCTTGCAGTGTTTTAATGCCATTATTTGCAAGCGTAGTGCTTCACTGCTCAGTCGCGTTCGCACCAATTCTGACGACATTCTGAATGTGTTATCTAGACAAGTGATATAAATATTTAGATTTTTTAATAGTAATAACATATAATTAGATTGTTTCACGAGCACAGACAAAAAGCTGACAAACGCGGGCAATAGTTAGTAAGAAAATATAGTAAAATGTAGGATGTTGTTGTAGTCCGACACCGCCGGTAGCGGGCGCTACGGCCCCGGCCGGACCCGTCGACAGGGAAGCGAATCTGCGAGCGGCACAGGACGCACTACGGCTCGACGACGGCCAGCCCGTCACCACCATACAGGTATGTCACACCCGAGAAATGAACCGCGGATAGCACACACATAGTACTTATATTGATAGAATTTCATTGAATAACGATATAATAATAATGTGTTGTAACGGTTTAACACACCGCCTTCGGATAATCATGTATTTGATTCCTAGCACGATACGTTTTGATGCAACCGTCTGCGCTAACGGTTTATGCTAGCGGGGCACCAGTGAAGGATGATAGAATACGCATAAAGTTAGACCGGTTAACCTATCTTGACGAATTCACTAGAAATTAAACACGATGGTTTCCAGGGGGGACTGCGTGGAGGTCGACTTAATATGATAAATTGTTAGCAAAGGGGCTACTGTTCCCCATTACTAACAATCCTTTTCCCCTCCTGCTGTATGGGTGTTTTCTATGTTAAATATTATTTAGGCGTTGACAAAAAAATGTGCACAATACCATTTGTGCACACAAGCTCTGTTTAGCTTGCGTGAGTGATGTGTGAATTGTCCTGAGATATTATTATTGTATCATAATACTTGCTGTGCCTACTTCACCCTCATCAATTTTGTAGCCTATGTGGTATTCTTATGTATAAGCTATATAACTGTGAAGTGTCTTCAGAATCCTTTAAATAGTGTTTGTTTGAAAGTGTAACAAACATCCATCCATAGTCACAAAGTTTGGCGTTTATAATATTAGAAAGATAAATATATTCATGGCGTCATATTTATAATAATACTTATTTGTTACCACTATAGTTCCGGCTGGCAGATGGTAGTCGTCTGACTGGCCGCTTCAACCACACGCACACAGTGGGACAGTTAGCGGAGTATGTGTCTCGCGCCGAACCTGCGTACCAACTGCAATCGTTCGCTCTCCTCACGTCATACCCCACAACGGAGCTGAGCGACCCCAGCCTTACCATCGCTCAGGCCAACCTTCTCAACTCGACATTGTTGCAGCGGCTGAAATAATCCTATCATTGTTAATTAAATCTGTACCCTATTCGTTGATACTTAGTAAACAATTTTGAAATGTTTTTTAAAGTAAAATAAATGGATGGTAATATAAATATTATTGGGGTAATTGATTATGTATTAACCCGTCGAGTGATCTGCTCTGTTCTAGTTTACTTGTAATAAAACTCTCTGGTGTAGCCAGAACTTATGATTCAATGTTTTTAAATTAGTGTACAGTCTACTCTACACTGTAGTATATATTTTTTTATTGAGGGGTTTGTGCTATTGTCAGATATTTTAGACCTGTAGCACTCCGATATGCCTACTGCAATCAATTTAATTTTTTTCAACGTTAGACCCGTCAGAGACAAGAATTGAAAGATATTCTTAAGGCTTTAGACTATCATAAATAACGATGTTAAAATTATACAGATCTTGATTAAGCGGCCAGTGCTACATTTTTCTTTGGTACTTCGTATGATGCATAAATGGCTAAGGTTAATGCATTTTTATGTCTGATTTTGAAATGAGTGAACTTAAAGACATGTCAAAATTGTTACTAAATATATCAAGTAATAAAGAAAAGTGTATAGATATGTTTACGTCTGGGCAGCTGTCATATTTCCAATTGACACTGTCAAATTAAGTTGCGCGGCCAGTTTAGGGTTTACGAAATATTGTAAGACTGGCAACATTTGTATTATCTGTCAAAATTATACCTTCAAGGTTGAATATAAGACACCATTCATAAATTCTGTCCCAAATATAATGATTTTTGCCACGCCACAGCTGGTCATATTTGTTAGACATTTGTTAAAGTAGGGCTCAACGGGATATGTATCCAGAGCCGTAAAACATGAAAAATAAAAAACCCAACCCGATGTTACGTTACAACATTGCAATTTTATAAAATTTTATGGAACTATTTTAAAGTTTTTTATTAGTACTTCAAATTTCATGTTAATAGTAATACATTGTATTGCAGAAGTTTTATTTCGAACCTATGTAGTTGAATTAAGTATCAACAGCTTATAAATCAGTAGAAGATAACTATAAGATCCATCATTCAGATATTGCAAAATAGATTTCGGAACGTGACAGAATTGCAAATGTTGCAGGATTTCAGTATGGCCACTCCGATGAGAGTTAAAGCCATAAGACTGGTAATATTTGCATTAATTGTGAAACAAAATAAAAATATTTTAAGTATATATATGTGGTTTTTAATTAGGTAAAACTTGTTGAGCCCTAGTGGTTATAAAGAAAACTAAACTATTGAACCATTCTAATGATGTTGCTGGCTGGCCTTAAGAGCTTCACCTTATAAAAATAAAGAGTGCAAAGGGCACAATAAACCCGCAGAAGGACTTATGACAAACTGATGGATACGACTACCATTAGGGGTTCGAACCTCGGCCTATGACGTCATAACTATAAAATTAGACAGTGATTGGAGCAATGTGAAAAATAAAGGGGTGACAACTATTCAATGATTTTTGTGTAAAAATACTATTACATTCGCACCATTTGCATTTTATACGAAATTTAAATTTCAAAGGACTTATGGATCAATCTCTGTAAGCCTTACTGTAAAATGTATGTGCCACAGTAACAAAAAGCCTATTTCAATGTGTATTTTTTTTTATCGAATATATTTTTTTTATGATTAAATATGTTATACCATTTTATATATATGTTGTTTGCATCGATCGTAGTTAAAGCCTTGCAGTTTATATCGGTTTTGGCTGCACACTATCATCAATTGTGATTATAATATACGCACTTGCATTTATTAAAAAATGTACCTTGGTCTACATTTGCATAAAGACAATATTAGATTTTTCAATGTTTATAATTTTTATTCGATATTCAGAGATTATTGAATAAAAGTAAAATTTTTACTCCACATATTGTTTTATTACAAAAGTATTTTGTGCAATATATGATTTAAATATTAGTATATAAAAATTGTACTACGCTACAATAGTTACATCAGTCATAGACCATTATATAAGTCTAATTTACTCTACTTAACGTCCAATTTATACCTACCTAATTTGTTTAAAACAAAATTATCTAGATATGTAAATATATATTCACGTCAGTATTATAGTTCAAACATACATTTGCAATCCGGTACAAATTACCTGCTATAACAATAAATAGTAAAACGGTGTTTATAACAAAAATATTTGAGTCAAAATGAAGTCAAGTTGGCGAATACCTACGCCATTTTGTCACTTTCAAATTTAGAACGCTTTAAAATGGCGATGGTTAGCTGCAACAAGCTGCTTTAGGGAAGTTACAAGCGCAGGGATCCGTCGTTATGCATTCGGCAGGACAAATACAGTCACAAGCTGCAAAGTTAAAAAGTTATTTTACAACATAATAAATGAAACAGTATCTACTTAACTATCTAAAATGACAATTATATTATTTTAGAAATTTGATTTATTTTAATAATAAATTTTAAATTTATTTCTAAAATAAAAGTGGCCTGTGTTAAACTTTAAAATATTAGCTCTCTGCGAGTGCAAGTCCTATCGAATATGATCTGGATGGATTTCAGAGATTATCAACAATAGACAGAATAACTTTTTATATTAAGTTTTTAGCTGTTAATTTTAAATTACAAATTAATACCTACTTAAATTTTATTTGCATAGATTATGTGTATTCAGCACACCAGGAATAAAAGAAATTGCAAAAAAACTTTTAATGAATTTCCTAGTACCTGGCACAAACAGCCCAAGCTGTAAGAAATACTTTGTACTCGTATTACTAACGTTTGCAGTCGCCATAAGAACATGGGTCCATATACTGGGTGCAATCTTCCCCGGGTGGTAGAAATGATGACCGGTAGACGGTTGTGCCATCCAGCTGTAGGACGAGCACATTGCGATTAAAAAATCCACTATTAAAAAAAAACTAAGGTTCCAATATACTTTGTCTACGTGCCAATAATTTTGGCGACGCGCAAGTGACGCTCCTGGTCTTTTGCCTACAACATAGGTCCATAGGCATACAACATAGGCTTCGATAATCGTTTACAATCACATGGGCCGTAGGCTTGTTTGCCACCCACGTAGTAAAAAAAATGGTATTTGTAAACTCTGGGTCGACTTCCATGATTGTTTTTGAAACCATGTGATCATTAGATCTCAAAAAATAATTTTCAATCATCTCATATCTGTGATTCTATGCGTTCACTAAGAATAAGTATATTCCTAGATAACTTTTCCAGAGAATGCTATGCTTCGGTTGCAGAGTGAGATATAGCAGTGAAATTACAGGATACGAAGGCAATTTAGTCCTCCGAAATGGCAACCGCATTTTAGGTACCACAGGCGTCAATTGACGACCTGCTGCTCTGGTATATAGGCGACGGTTACATTACGGATACCGATACTGAAAATTGAGTGTCTTCGGTCGTCAGTGGTTTCAAATTATTTTACCTTCTGACAGGGCTTCTGGTACTGTCCTTTGCAGGCCCAGGGCGGTTGCTGCGGCGCTGGTACACACACCGGCTGGTACGACATCTTCTGCGTTGTGGCGCACTCCATTTTGGCTGGATATGCAACAAAATTAGTAGTGTAATAAAACTCTGAGAGCATTGTAGTCTAGTGGTTTAGAACGCTACTTCCGCTACCGGTCGTGAGTTCAAATCTGGCTTGGATGCAGGGTTAAGTGAATTAATTAATACTAATGTACCATGTCAAGTCGAATTTCACCGGTCCATCCTAGACAACATTGCAGAAGTCTGCAACATTCCATATTAATCTTTTAAATAATCCTGTTTTCCTATATTTTTTAAATCTTTAATTTTTTTATATAAAAAAAATATTTTATACTGTATTCGTGTATTTTATTTAATAAATGATTAGGGACCATCCATAACATACCACAAATGTCACAACGTTTCACCTCCCCTCGTTCTTGTCACAATAACTATTTCTAAATTTTTCATAGGCTAACTGACGTGACATGTGACATAACTTGAAATTGACGGCCTCGGTGGTCTAGTGGTGTAGCACACCGCCTTACTTCCAATACTTGCGGGTTCGATTTCTCGAACGCCACAAACATTTGTATTCAAGAGTATGATTGTTTCAGTCTAGATATTTTCTATGTATAATACGTATTTACGTAAAGAAATATCTATGTAGTTGTATCAGTTATCTAGGGGCCAAGCTAATCATAAAATCTAACACAAGCTTTAGCTAGCTTAACTTGAGTCTAGATGGCGTTGTGTGAATTGTCCTGAGATTATTATTATTCTCTGCGTACATATTCTACTGCGCAAGATTTTCAATTTACCTGATGGTTTCTCGTAACACTTGAGCGGAGCGAAAGATTCTGGTACTGCGATACGGCCAGGGTTTATATATGACATTCGGTTCACGGTGCGATCTGCGAACATCGTACAATATACTATGTATGTACATGTGCGAACAACATAGGTATAAGACAACATTATAACATTTTATAGATATGATTTTTTCAGGGTCCCCTGAAAATGAGTGTTAACAATATAAAATAAAAAAAATATCTAGTCAATTTTGATGTCCTAAGATAGATATATTATACTTTACCTGTTATTCGTTATTGACAACGTTAGGGCGATAGTGGTGCTAGAAGTAATTTCTTATGATACTAAATGTTTTTTTATATATTTTTGTCCTGTTTCAACACCCCAGGATTTGGCCCGGCGACCCATGTGCGATCTCTTAAATCTGCATATTAGCCAACATATACATAAACGTTATCACTATCCAATACCACATGACATAAGATTTAAGAGTATAATTCTTTTACGATGTAAGTATCCCTACTGAATGAATAACTTTGGTCAGTCTGTTTTATAGATACCTATAATATTTTATTTGAGTTTTCCTGATCCTGCACAGATATACGAGTATATACTTTGTTATTTTAATTGACCTATACGTCATTCTAGGAACGAAAGTATGGGTGGCCTATTGTATTCTTACTCTATGACTAATATTACAATCTGTTTTGAGATTGTTTATAATTCAACGGTGTGTACAAGCCATGCTATAAGCTAATGTCCCAGTGTACAAGTATGAAGTTTAAGAATGAATTCAAGTATTTTATCTATACTATGTAATATAAATGATATAAATGGCCGTATATTTATATTGTATTCAATAAAGCTATTACAATATATATCTACATTTACTGTTAAATAACCGTTTCACGCACTACTTACTCAGTATCACCATAGAAACAGATCTGTATCATCAAGCAGGTTGAAGAAATGCTGTATCTTATATACTAGACAATTAATAGCGCTGAATTCAAGTTGCTTGTTTATATACTTCTGTAAATAAGCAAGTTGCTTTAATTACACTTACTTTCAAAAGGTTGTTCAACACAGTGGAACTTGCTTGGTGGTTTGTACGACTCCCTAATCGCGCACGGCTTGGGCACGTAGTCGTGTCGTTGTGTGGTCACGTTTTGCATGGGGCCCTGTCCCCACATGTCGTGGTGACACGGACGGATCGCTTGCGTCACGCACACAGGATTCGGCAGGAACGAGAGCTGTAGTAAAATTTATTAAGTTGATTTATATTACTATAAATTAAACCTTAAACGTACTTTTCTATGTAAAGCCTAATAGATGTTAGATACAAATGGGCTTAGGGCCCGTGGTTATTTCCCCGTTCTGCCATTTTATTGCTATGTCATTGACAACAAGGATTACGTAGGTAAATGCTAAGAAACAGTTTTTAATAGGATTGAATACTTAACCATCGGATGCAGGGTGGTATGCAAAATCGCTACTTTACACAGTATAGATTTATCAATCGAGGCTTTATGTGCAAGTTTGTTGGAAACTTGGTATACCTTGTGTACGGTATCTCCTTCCATCTGCGCTGTGGAAGATACTAAGTTTGGTAGGGGTTTAGCTGGTTGAGGAATTGGTGCTGACGCTGGTAGATAACTGCAACGTCAGATAGATTATAAAATAGATTACAGTTTGATTTAGAATAGGTACTTTTCTTACTAGTCAATTTTTAGGAAATAAGTTTGCGTATTAAGTTCTGGACTGTGTTATATTATATCTTACGTATTGATACTGTGAGTATAACAATAACTTATAAGATATGACTATATTGTAAAAATAGGAAATATAATTACTCAAGATATTCACTCCTATACTTTAAAATTATTACGAGTAGAGTTAATACACATTAAGACTCGTAAAATCAGGTTGCACTAATTGAATCTTGTTAATACTCCTGAATACGTACAACTATGTAAATTAAAGAATTTATTTAAACCTTTAAAAATAATAATAATAACATATTTTGATCTTAAATCACTACTTCATAATAAACTGTATTACAGTTATTTGCGCCCGTCTCCGGAACATTTAGAGAAAAACAAGTAGGTATATCATCCCAACACAATTTTCGACATTTAGCATATCTTTCTTACTTATGAAACAAAGCATGCAGATGTGGTCTGTGAGTATGTGAATATTTGTATAAGAATATTCTACAAGTATTATTATAATGTCCCATACATAATGAATGTGTGTGTGAATGCGTTTTCGTGTACACTTATTTTAGTGGTTGGATATCTATATTAAAATAACATAGTATATATACTTTACACGTCTCCTAATTTGAATACAATTGTAATTAAGACTTGAGATTGACGGTTGAGTGACTCCTCGTATTTTCTTCTTTTACCCTAATTTCTTTATAATAAAAAATGTATAATATAGCGCAGTTTTATTAAACTGACCTGTTCTTATAAACCGTTTGCGTTTCAAATCTCTTGGATGCAGTGACTGGGTTGGTGCAAGAATTAGGTATGATGGCACGTCGTCTACAGTCATTCTTCGCGTCTAGGTAACTATTCAAAAATAATTTAATTTTGTAAATAAATGTGTTCACTGTTTCATCGTTGTTATTTTGAAAGTGTTACATATAAATGCGGATGGTTATAAAGGGAGAGGAAGGCCGAAGAAGAGATTAATGAACTGTGAAAAAGATGATATGGTAAGAAAGTGAGTAAATAACGAGACGACTGCGAACAAAGACGAATGGAAGAGAAAAACATATTACGCAGACCCCACATAAATTGGGTAAGGAAGAAGATGAGGTTGTATAAAGTCGTTTACGATGGCACCTCTATCTCCTTTTTTTTATTCGCCAAGCTCTAACTATGTATGTAAGATGTTTCAGTTTGAAGGGTGAATATTGACAAATTAACAGTGAAATTACATTCTACAGAGGCGTTATGATAGCTGGTAGCTGACGCCAAATCCTATAATAACATCAAAGTGACAATGAAATGTTAGGATAATTTTGAGTTTAAAATTGCGGTCACCATCAAAAACAAAATGTACTTATTGTAACTCATTACCTCATGGTATACGTAGTATTGGAATCCAATCTCTGACATGGTATTTGGTACTGTCCTTTACAAGCCCAAGGCAGTGGTTCCTTTGGCAAAATCTAAGTACGAATACATATATTAGAATTATAATAAAGCTGCTGCATCATTATGCATTCCTTTCTAAATAGCAAACTAGCTGACAGCTCATTTGATGGTAAGTGGTAACCTGTATGCTTGAACAACTGGCATTATGTTATCTATGTTGCCAGTCAAGAGGACTAAGATCTCACCCTTCAACTGAAACTTACCATAAACAAGTTGTTTGTTGGCTAAAATAGGCGAGATAGAGGTACTCCACCCAGATAACTTTGTATAAAGTTTACGTAGGTAAAATCTCCCCCTTCTGTGTATGAATATGGAGTAACTACCACCATCTGTTTTTCACACCCAGAATCCTCATTCAATTGCCTCCAATTAGAGCAATAAAACTAACACTGGTCCATGTGAGATAATAACCCAAAAGAATGAAAAAGAAGCTCAATCAGAAAGGTCATACGCCAACTGCACGCGTTCTGTGATTTGTCTTCAAATCACAATATGACATATTTAAATGCTTATATAAAATTGCCTATTACAGTAATGAAAATACTAACTTGGGTTGGCATATAGCTCATTTTTTGTGTTGTAGTGCCTTCCATTTTAGCGGCGGGCCTTTCATAGCATCGTTCGGGTGCGTAGGACTTCGTTAGTTCAATTTTTTCCGGGGGCAAATAGGATAGCTTGTTGACAGTACGATCTAGAAGTTAATAGTAGATTAACGGAGAACAATAGATCAATACAATTCATCCTAAGACCGTAATATATTTAGTCCTTAATTTATTACGGTTTTAAAAACGTTAAAAATTATCTTATGTCGGTACAAATTTTAAGATCTACGAATGGACGAGACCTTAAAATTTTAACACAAAGGGTTTCTTTTTTATCAGGCGGAAATTTCAATAAATTTTATTTAGTTACATTATATATAGACGCCTATTTATTATTTAAACAAATTTTACAATTATTTGTTGTTAAAACATTTTTAAAGTTGATTATAATATATTTTTGACAATTAATCATAAAATAAGTAAACTATGGGATGCGGTCAGCCGGTTTTTCGATTGTGGTAAACGTAAAAGTTAGTATAAAACATTATATAAACGACATATTCACCATAAAATTATTTTAAAGCTCTCTATACCACAATGCTGTTAATCGTCAAAACTGTAATCATGAAAAATGTTTAAAATAGTATTAAAACATTTACTCTCAAAAGGCTGTTCAACGCAGTGAAATTTAGGCGGTGGTTTGAAGTTCTCACGAAGTACACATGGCTTGGGCACGTAGTCGTGTCGTTGTGTGGTCACGTTCTGCATGGGGCCCTGTCCCCACATGTCGTGGTGACACGGACGGATCGCTTGCGTCACGCACACAGGATTCGGCAGGAACGAGAGCTGTTGGCATAGTGCATAGTAGTGCACTACGTACTGATTTATATTAATACCACTCTTGTATACGACGTGACTTTACTTACGGTGGAGTAAAATATGACAATAGCTAAATAAACGCGATTCGAATAACATTAAAATATTGGATTAAAACAAATTCTTTGTTTACCTCTAAATTAGCTTATAAAAGAAGCTTAAATGAATAAATTTGAGGCAATTTATTTATTTATTAGGTACACCAACATCATTACATTGTATATACCACATTACAATATATGTAGTTATATATGCTTATCGCAACCTTAATTACATATGTGTAACTGCAACAGTTATTTGAAAATTAGTGATTACAATTCACATTCAATGCCTTACCTTTATCATAATGTTCAGCCTTTATCCCTCTATTTGGGGTCAGGGCAGTATGTGATCCGCTGATCTCTATCGCCTGTCATATCTGGGCCTACTCTCCTTTTATACATATCTCTCACACAATCCACAATCTTTTTTCGGTCGTCTTCTCCCTTTCCATCCAACCATGTTCATGTTAAAAACATTCTTCAGGACATGTCTCTCGCTCCACCGCGTAACATGCCAATACCAAGTTAATCTGTTACTTCGCAACCATATACTTACAAATAATACAATTAATATAACATCCGACGTTTCAATTTTTTTTTTACTATACTGTATTGCTTTAATTAGAATTAACTTATTGAGATAAAATATATTTTTAACATATATTTTTGGTATAGATATTTATTTTTCTTGTTATGTGGCCCTCTAGGATAAAAGCCATCTCACTTCATCGCCAACCCTCTCTATCTATGGCAATGGATATGGATTTTATATTAACTGTAACTAAATGTTGTTATTTTTCAAAGAATCACTTATCACTGATAAATTCTTTGAACATGTGTATGGTTTTTTGGCTATGATATTTCCTCGAATTTCTTTAAGCTTAGTCGTCCTATTTGGTATAAGAGAACCAATTTATGCATGAGTATAGCGTGGTGGCGTAGGTAAATACCCACAACGAGGGGGAACGGAATGGTTAGTAATGGACTGCTGACCCATTGCTAGCTATGTACCATGCCTGTTTTCTGGTTTCCCCTGGAAACCATCATAAATTATTGGGCATGCCACGATATGCTAATTGGCCTGACATCAAGTTCCTTTTTCCAATATCATCCATTAAAATGATTAAATAATATAATAAATTTACTCCATTAAAATAAATACAAAGTGGACTTATTTTTATGATATTTATTTATTTTAAAGGCTTCGGTATTGATTGTAATTATTGTTTGAGTAAATACAAAATTAGAACAATGTTTCAATTTGACCACATTTGTCAGATATCCACTAGTGATAGGTATTGAATTATCTCCGACGATGCAATAATTTGCTCCAAACATAAATAAATGTAACTCTTTTCTTTTGTTGGTGAATTTATTAATATGTACATATATCTATAGATTTAGATATTTATCTATAGACTAGCTGTGCGACGACTATTATATTCCGAATAATTACTATTATAATACGAAGTTCCGCGACTTCGTCCGCGTGGAATAGTGACTTTGACCAAATAAGAAAATATATTTAGTTAGAATATAACCCAAAAAAGTTTAATTGTTCTACTTAATAAAGGACGATACATTCATACAACCTTTCATCTCTGCTTTCAACCCTTATGTATCTATAAATTGGTGATTTTAAGCGAAGAAAAAAATAAACTCATCAAGCCGATTCCACTAACCACATCGGCATGCCACCCGGGTCGCAATTTTTTAATTAACATCGATCCATGTACGTATATGTTAATTTATTTGCATAATTATAATTTCATAAACAGTAGCTATATACGACGACGCCACCCGCGTCGATATAGCTACCTACCAAAAGAAATACGGACGTCAAAATAAAAAAAATATTTCTACCTAATTAAATAATGATATAGACATTATATTACATAAATATATAAAAATATATATTGACGACCTCGGTGGTCTAGCGGTTTAGTACACCGCTTTGCTACCGATGGTCATGGCTTCAATTCCTCGCACGGTGCAAACAATGGTATTCATGAGTATGATTTTTGTATCAATCTGGGTGTTTTCTATGTATGTTATGTGTTAATTTACAAAAAACAATTCTAAGTATTTCTATCGGTTGTCTAATACCCATAACATAAGCTCTGCGTACAGTGGGACTAGATAGCATTGTGTCAATGAGCCAGGGTTATTTATTTTTTATTTATTTATATTGATATATTTCAAATACAATCCAGTAAGCATTATCACTTCAATATACATTCATGAATACTGCACCTATTCATAAAATAGTAAGTTTAAAATAGTAATTAGTGTTAGTTGGAAGTTTGTATTCACATATTTCAACTTAAAAATGGAAAGTTAATTAAAAGAGTAACATACAAGTTTCTTGTTCGTTCTTCTTGTGATGAGACAGCTTTGCGAATGAGCGGTAGATTAAAAAAAATGACTATTCAAAAGTGCTTAAATGAAGTTTATTTAAACAAAGGATTTTCTATTTTATTCTTATTCGATTTTATCTTATTTAGCTATTTATACTAAATGCTGTCTCGTATCTCGTATCTGGCTCACTGGATCAATCAGCTCAGATTTCAGCAACATTTTGATTTTAATTTTGTAGGTTATACTGTAGTATCTATGTATGCTGAGTGGGAGTTACATTCAGTGTTACCAATAGGTTTTAACTTTAAGATATTTTTTGCTTTCTATTTTTATATCTGCAATCAGTCCTAGAATTATAAACAGATCTTTTGAGTATGGAACTGATAACATTGTGCACCCCAATGGGAACATCTGCTCTTTAAGATTAAAGCAAAATATTACAAAAATCCCTATTTTTTAGGATTGAAGATAAATGTACCCTTAATAGGGTTTACAACATTTTTTTTCTACTGTTTATGTAATGCTGAGCAAACATTATTATTATTATATATTTGAACTGAAGTTGTATTCGTCAGGCAGTTGTTGGTTTTCCAGAACCTTTTCGCAGGTTTCGAGTGCTTACGGCATTCACCCCCTTTTTTCCGGTGAAGCTGTAAAGGCCAGCTACAACTTAGAATAGATTGCAAAAAAATATTTAATATATAAGTCTTGGTTTTGTTAATTTTTGTTTTAAGCCGACTGTAATTTTGAGTATTGTGTTTCTTAGAATCAACCAAATAAATACCAAGTAATTTTATATCTATATCTGTATATTTACTATATTTATACCTATATGTATATAAATATACACCAAGCCTAATATTGTATTAAGATAATAGATATGTATGATGTCAAAAAGATGATCTCATTACATTATTTGGGTCAAAAAAATAAGTAATTTTTAATTCTGATTAAACAATATATGTGCCTATATATCTGGTATTACAGAGAAATATTGGTTTATTTATCAATTCTATTGATATATACATATTAATACTAAAAACATTATCAATTAAATTTCCTGATATCATGCTCCGTTTTTTATTATTAAATCTATACTAGTCAATAATACTCATATACGCAACGTTTGTACCACTAATTTAATAAAAAGCGAGTTGATGACAGTTTTTAATTACGATTATAATCGTATTGATTTTTATAAATATATTAAAACCAATAAAAATATGTTAAAGCTGTCTTGCTTCTCCGAAAAATATATAAAAAAATAAAGAATGATGTATATGTAATTTTGTTTTTTATTTGTCCCTGGTAAAAAACTAAATTCCCGTATTTTTTTGCTTACTTAAGCATTTGACCCTTATAGGCTGAATAAAATCTTGCGACTATATTTATAATACATGTTGTATAGCCGTGCGAACCTGGAGTTTATAACTAGTATGTAATAAACAGTATAGATAAGAAGGTATATTACTTATATATTAAGAGGAACGTTTATACTTTTGCTTGCGTTTCAAATAAAGATATTCTCAATAAAATAATTTAAGAACTTCAGTAGGGGAGTCAGTCAAGTCAGATTAATTGAATAGGACTGAGATTGTTTTTTTTTAATGTGTTATGTATTACATATACTATTCGTCTTTCTAATGCTATTGCCGTTGTTTTGTCGGCATTGTCATACAGATGACTTTTACAGCTTCACCGGTAAGAAAGAGTATGGATGGCACTCGAAACCCGTGGATCGACTTATGGAGCGGCTAAAGACTAACTCCTGCCTGATTTACACGACTATGTCTGAGGGGGTAGTGGTATTTTTCGAATCTCGGCTCAAGCCGTAATTTTGGTCCCCGTTTGAATGGGACAGGTGATCGATCGAGGAGCATAAAATACAGACCAAACCGGATGAGCAAAGTTGTTCTATGGACTGTTTTACATTATTGTATCGGTGCACTAAAATTTAATCATGTGGAAGTAACGCGATAATTTTAGTTTATACTGTATAGATTTTGTTTACAGGATACTGTTTTATCAATATGTTATCTGTAATTTCCATAGAAACATAATGCTGACAGTGACGGTTGATAGAGCACGATGTATTGTTACTAAGTGATATCTATCTACATGTGTATATCCGACACAGGTCTCGGGTTCGATTCCAGTACTACACAACCAAAGTGTTTGTATTGATGATTTAGGTACAAAAAAAATCAAATAACATATATATATTGGATTTTTTTATATATTTATAATATTAGTTTAGACTAGTGGCTTACCCCGGCTTCGCCCGGGTACTTGTTATATTGTGGTTTGTATATACGAGTATTAACATATTATACTAGTACAGCCTCTGGAATAATGGACCTTTCAGACAGAGAGAATTTCATAAGTCGGTTTACTTCACTCATAACAAAATCCACTCTGTCTTTATATAGTATAAACTGTGCATAACGCACCTTTTTATATGATAATATTATATTTTTTATATATATATTTAAATATTTTATGTTTCGTTCGATTTTTATTGTCAATTTGAAATATATGTCTTTTACCATCAGCGACCGTAGTTTCTCTTAAAACTAAAAATATATACAGTCCTTAGAAACATTAATAATTAAAATAAACTGACCGCAAAACTTCATCTACATCACAATTTCCAGGTCCTTTCAGCTCCGTTAGTATTAGTCGTAGCGAGATGTTTTATAGCCGATAGTTTTCCTCGATAAATAAGCTTTACAACACTACAATAATTAGTCAATTACATAAAAATCGCCGTAAATTAAAAATAAATAAATAAGCAAATCTGGACAATTAACATAGCGCCATAAGTAACTTAGCATAGCGCGTAAATTAACATAGCGCGTAAGCAGAGTTTGTTTTATGGGTAAAAACTGATAAAAACTCTTTTTTTTTAAATAAATTATATACATAGAAAACACCTAGATTGATACAAACAATAATATTCATGAATACAAATATTTATACCATGCGAGAAATTGAACTCGCGACCGTCGGAAGTAAGGCGGTGTGCTAGACCGCTACACCACAGGGTCGTCGTAAATTAGATATAAAATCTGACCTTATTAACAGTGCACGCTTCCATTGGTTCGCAACTGGGCACCAAGTTCGGAGCTGGTTTCCTGGCCACTCCTCTCAGGTTCTTGCAGTCATCCACTGGTAAATAGGACATGTTATAAGTAGTGCCCGACTCAACTTGTGCGGTCGGCTTATTATAACATCGTCGGGGTGCATACGAATCCGGTATTTTCGGTTGTTTGTAGCACTGGAATATAGAAGGCATTACGAAAAGTTAAATTATTTTTTTAATAGATACAGAATACCTACCTAAACTAATCTTTATATAGTATAAAACAAAGCCGCTACGACTGTCTGTTCGCTTAGGTCTTTTAAACTACGCAACGGATTTTATTACAGTTTTTAGCAATAGATTCAAGAGGAAGGTTTATATCTTCCTGATATTATAAACATGGACATTTGTATGTGTGGATGAATGGATGGTTGTTACTCTTTCACGCAAAAACTACTTAATGGATTTAAATAATATTTTACAATACGTTAGAATAACACATAGGCTATAAATTTCACGCGGGTGACACCGTGGGTGAAGCTTGTGTAAGACATGTGTGTTGTAGTATAGAACAAGACAAGCAGAGAAACTGAAAGAATGCATCTCTGAGAAGCCGGGACGGGTCACTAGTAGATGTATTATAAATAATCACTTCAATAAGTTGTTTTTTTTAGTGCAAGATGCACCTAATGGCATACGCCAGCGGGATGGAATTGAAATATGATGGTATAACATGACTGACGGGTTAGTTAGCTCATCGAGCTGAATTCTCCAGGTCTGTGTAGTACCTCAGTCTCACCACTTCAGCAATCAAGCAGCTTGCTTTGTAAACTATGTTTCGCTGGTAGAGTCCAGATTAGGCAGATCGAGAAGAGAAGAAAATACAGGAGAAAAGGTATGATATCTTAGTCTTCTGGACATCCGCCATAAAACTCATGCGTTGCCACGCACGGTATCGTGGATGTCATATGATCCGTAATACTATTCATGTATGTATGTATATAGATGAGGGTTACCGCTAACGTTGTTTGTCATTCCAATTGTATAAAAACATCTCCTATCCTGTAATTACATTGTTCTCTATATATCTCTACCCTTCAACCGAAATATCTTACAAAGCAAACTGCTTGGTAGCTTAAATATGCGAGACTGAAGTACCCACGCGTACGACTTTCTACATGCTTGCATATTCGATACTCACTTGTTTGACGGTGGGTGGTTTCCCACAGCAGCAAGTGCGACACGGACAGGGGTTTTCCTGATGACCGTCGATGAGCCGACCATCCCGGAGCCCCGACTTGATGCCAGCTGATGGTGCACATGGCGCCGCAGCTGGACATGGTACACATCTGCCATGTATAATTTATGATTAGGTATATAGTATAAAATTTACAGTTAGTATAAAAATCACAGGTTCTCCCGCAAATGGAGTACTGCTCTCTTTTTTATCTTTGGGCAGGAGCATCTTTGACTCGGTTCAGAGACATGCTATGGGAATTGTCGATAATCCCGATCACTCGAGCAGTATCGAACCACTTAGCTTGAGGCTAGACTTCGTTTCGCTTTGTGTGTACTACTGAATATACAACTAACTGTAACACAGTTAAAACAATAGAACAATTCCTTAGAACATTAAGGAATTGTTCAACATTTTTACATTCGATATTTACCAACACACAGCTCGCCATCGACAAGAAATTCATCCCCACTCACTAGAACCTAAGTGGTCTCAGACAGTGCGATTTCAGAGGAGCTTCCTGCCGCGTACACTTAGATTGTTGAATGAATTACCTGCCGAGGTTTTCTCACGGGACTACAGCATGGGGTTTTTCAAGGGAATGTTAAGGTTTTTAAAGGTCGCAACGCGTACGTGACACTTCTGGTGTGTTAGACGTCCATAGGCTACGTGGTAACCATTTGCCATCAGATGGGCCATATGCTTGTTGGCCACCATTGAAGTATAAAAAATATTTATTTACACGTTTAATAATTATATACAATAAATTTTGGATATAATTTTCACAGAATATATTTTTAAATTAATGGAAATAATGTAACCTGCAATTTAATTTGTTAATTCTTTAAAGAAATAATATATGTCGTTCATATGATTGTTTATTCTTTTGGTTTGATTACCATCAATCTACAAATGCACTCATTGGGCACTACTAGGGTATACTTAGTAATACTAATTAAATCACACAGCGCCATCTAGTCCCAAACTAATAAAAAAAACTATATAAATACCATATGAAGATATTTTTAGTTGATACATACATACGTCGCATTTATAATATTAGTATGGTATGGATTATAATTAAATGTGCAGTTTATTCGGAACCCTCAATATATATCGGTGGGTTTTTTGTTGTAACCTATATTTAACAATTTGATAACGATTATCGTAAATATGCTAGAAGATAACAGTGCACCTATGTCAGTAAAGATTTCAAGGAAGTGAATACATATCTATGCAATATTAAATTCTCATATAATGATAACGTCTTTTGCACTGACCGTCTTGGCGATCTCGCGGTTTTGCACACCGTCTTAATTCCGATGGTCGCGGGTTGATTTCTCGCACGGTACCAACATATGTATTCATAAATATGTTTATTTGTATTGGTCTAGGTGTTTTCTATGTATATTGTGTATGTATTTTCAAAACGATATACTTATTTATATCAGTTGTCTAGTACCCAAAACACAAGCTCTGCTTACCGTGGGACTAGACAGCGCTATGTTAATTAAAAAACAAAAGAATACCGTCCCCTAATACCGCTCCCTCTCTGGCCAACATTTTGCAATATACTTATTAACACAATTTGTCCATTTAGTATTATTGTTAATTATTCTGGCTTTATCAACAATTAAATCTTCATTTTCAAATTCATTGCACAAAATTTGCTTGACGTCCGTCAGTCAATGGTCAAAACGGCGTCAAAAAATGAGTCAATGAGTTCTGCCAAGATCAAAGAATTTGCCGTCCCCCAGAACTAGCCGTCCGGGGCACAGGCCCCGTGTTGCCCCCCTAGATCACCGAGGCCGTCAAAACATATATCGTACTCATGAATACATTTGAATCATACCGTTGGAATCGAACCCGCAACCATTGGAAATAAGGCGGTTAGCACACCGCTAGACCATCGAGACTGTCAGCAGCGTGTTTAAATACCTAAATAGATTTTAAAATGTGAAGTCACGGACTTTTTATTTTAGAATTGTAACTAATTTAGAACAACTATTGTTACGAATTCATCCAGAAGTCTTCTTCTGGATGAGTTCACTGTAATTGTTCTCACTGACTCTGAACAAAATGTTCCGAATAAAGAAAATTATTGGACATATGTTTTAAAATAACATTTTAAACCTATTTTTACTAATCAACAAACCCCAGCAGACACAGCGGTGGTCCATTATATAATATCTTTTCAGTTCGGCGTAGTTTAATAAACAAATAATAAATGGGTATTCCCAATGACCTCACTGATTGTAATAGCTGTTAGGTATTCCCGTAAGTGCAAACATTCCTATCAGATGTTTTTTTTTTGTTGGCTGACTGGGAATGGGAGTTCAACGATTAATGTGTTAACGTTTAACATTTAATGTATAGACGGAGTTAGTATATATATATCCCATCAAAAACATAAATGTGAAATGATAGCCGAGTTTAATATTATGATATATACCTTGATTGTTGACTTCTACGACAAAAGAGATGAGATCTAAATGGGTGCCAAGTTCAATGATCTGTCCTGAAATGTATTTATAACAATATAAAATATCATTTCTTCTTATAACTTAGGATAATATACTGTAGCCTAAGGTCTAACTTGGCCAGTTCTCATATACCAATTATTACTTTCGATTGCTAGTTACTACTAATATTAAAATAGGAACCGACAAGTAACATGTTTAGAACTTGCGAAGGCTACAGTATATTTCGTATATGAAAACTAGCCAAGTTAGACCTTAGGCTACAGTATATTATCCTAAGTTATAAGAAGAAATGATATTTTATATTGTTATAAATACATTTCAGGACAGATCATTGAACTTGGCACCCATTTAGATCTCATCTCTTTTGTCGTAGAAGTCAACAATCAAGGTATATATCATAATATTAAACTCGGCTATCATTTCACATTTATGTTTTTGATGGGATATCATTACTTTTTGTACATAAATTATACGAGGTACTTATTTATAACTAAATTAATACCAAATTATTTTTGATAAATTACTGTATTTTCGTACATTTACGGGGTATAATTGTCTTTTTTTGTGTTATTTTCTATATTTTCTTGTAACTTTTAAATGTTCAAGTGCATTGCCAATTCAGTATCAGGAATTTTTGGGCAAATCGGGGCGGTATAACGTCCACAGATGGTTGTACTCTACAATAGAGCTCTCGTGACTTGGATCAAAATTGTTAAGACGTACCTACTCCATCTAAGGTTTTAACTCTGAAGAGTCCAACGTAAACCTGCCCTTTATTAAATATAGAGGAGCCTATGTTGAGAAGAGGACTGCCAAAACTAAGGCCTTGTGATTTGTGGATAGTAATAGCATATGTTAAGCAAATACGGAATTGTTCTCTTTCAACATATACATTATTTAATATCTGAAACTTCGTATTGACACGTTATAAATCGAAAGTAAAGACGATTATGTAACAAATTGACTGTTATCTATTGAATTCTCAAGAAAACAATTTGTTACCAATAAGTTCTCATTCTCGAGTTAACTGTACATTCCTACTTATAACTATACTAAAATTGTTATTAATTTTTGGTTTAAACTATTGTCTATACCATACGTATTTACTAAAATAATGTAATAATAATATAATCACAAATATATAAGTATAATTTAAGAAAGCTATAAATTTCGTAGCATAAATCGCAACCTTATAGGTTAGATATCGAGAAACAAAACATTGAGTTTTATCGCACCGCTCCCACACGGCGCCGCCGCGGCGCCCTATACCGAAATGCCTATTATTTAATAATTATTTATAAAAATAATGATTTTACACTATCGATGTGCGGTAAATATTGAAACAATAATTAATATCAAATCTCAGTTAATAACATAATAAATACGAAATTCGACTATACTCCTAGTTATAAGTACGAGTATATTTTAGACAGAATCTAAATTATAGCAACTAGTGTTTACCGCTCAATGCAATATTTGAAGTTTGCTAGTTATCGACACTGATGTGAAGGGGTCAACGTAAATTGGTAATGATCGACGTTTTCATACAATATTACTTTCGGTCCAGTACAAGATGAGATTTTTCGCCAAGGATCAATGTCAATTGGTGGCTATCGACGTTTTCATAGAATTTTAGTATTCGTCCAGTATAAGTTGAAATAGAATCAATTAAAGTGAAAAATTGTAGTAAAATGATAACAATTTACCAGTTTCAGATTTTTTCCTTTATATTCACCTAATTACCTATCTGCATACCAAATTTGAACTTCCTAGGTCATCTGGAAGTGGCTTATAATTTTGATCTATAGTTGATCAGTGATAAAAATGACGATTTTTGGACATTAATATCTAAATAACCGTTTGAGACATGTTTATGAAATTTGGAACACATATTTATCTCGCAAGTCTCAATATATGAACCAAATTTGACAGGTTTGTGTGAAAGAGTTTTTGAGTTATGAGGGGGTCAAAAGTGGCTCCAAATGGTTCGTGTAAATATGCACACGGTGCTGCAAGCCAGTTTACTTGAAACTCGGCTTGACACGCTGCCGCGTGTCTAGATATAGTAGCTGTCCCTGAAGACGTTGTTTGGCCATATAAAATCGCTATTAAAAAGTAGGGGTGGATGGTAGAAGGGTGAATTGTGTTTGTGAAATTGTGTGTGTGAGGGTTGTACGTATTTGAATGAATACTGTACTATAATGCCACAATGTAAATAACATTAGGTATTCCCGTAAATGCAAAACATTCCTATCAGACGATTTTTTTGTTGGCTGACTGAGAATAGGTGTTCAATGTCAACGGTCAATATATAGACAGACATATATATATCAATAGGTATAATGACCAATTTATATTCACCACAAACAAACTGTAGTGTATACTAATATAGTCAGACAGTCAGTGTCGTGGCCTAGTAGATATAACTACAAAATCTAAGACACAAAAATAATTATGTGTCAATTTAAATGTTTGACTAATCCTCCAGTGATGGAAACACTAATAACAAACCAAAAACTTATCACAGAGTCACGCGATAGGTACTGTAACTTTGGATTCAAATAAATAAACTGTTTTTGTTTTTGTATTTATATATAGGTCGTAATCAAGCATAAGGCTGATCTAATGTAAACGGGTTTTTTAAGCCTATATATTTTTTTTTCGAACACTCCAATGCTGTTGGCCGCAGTTGACCTTTACAGATTCACTGAACGGTATGGGGCGAGTGCAGATGCGACTCCAAACCGCGCGGAAGGACTTATGGAGCGGCTGAAGGCCAAGCCCGCCTGAGGGATACGAATTTACTCAGAGGGCAGTCTGGGGTTTAAATCTGGGTTCATATAAGGGTTTGAACTAATTTCAATCCCTGTTTCAGTTGGACGGGGGATCGATCGGAGAGGGATCGTTAGTTACTAGTACAACTACATCGCCTTCTCATAATCAAGTGATGTTGTAAATGTAAACTGTAAATACAGATATAAAGTATAACCTATTCCGTCGTAATTTCGATTCTTATTTGAATTGGACGGGGGTCGATCGGATGGGAGTAGCCTATGGCGTGTTGCCAAAATGCGGTTATGTCAATCGTTGCTTTCATCACGATGTTCACAGTTAACATAGCAATGCCTACCCGATCTAGGGTATCAGTCGTGATAGTAGGTATATGTCCATCATTGTCTGCTTCTTCCTTATCCCATTTATTTGGCGTCGGCTTAATATGTTTTTCTGTTCCATTCATCCCTGTTCGCAGTCATCTCGTTATTTACTCCCTTTTTTATCATACCATCTTGCACACAGTCCATCCATCTCTTTTTCGGACTTTGACTGCCCTTATAAGCATCCACATTCATATGTAACACCTTCCTTAAAATATTATCGTCATTCCTATACATTACATGCCCATACCATGATAGACGATCACTCTTCAACCTCTCCCACATGTTAGGTATATGTCCGTGAGTCATTTATTCGGGGTTACATTGAAAATCAGCGTCGTGGCTCTAGTCATGGCATAATCTGAGATGGGTCTCTTACACACCATCCATACACAGTGACGCGGTGACGATGCCCCATAGTTTGCTTTGTTATGATCGCTTTGGTATGTGTTTTTCTTTTTTTTTTTGTTCTTTTTTATGTAATAATTTGTATTGTGTTATTTCTGTTTATGTTATAATAATTTATAACGTCATCGTATTGTTGTGATGTGTGATGTAATAAATATTATTCTATTCTATTCTACATATATTATATTATTTATAAAACAGATACATCGGGATTTTACGCCATTGTACAAAATTTTTGAGATGCCAGTGCCTACAGCAAATGCTAAGATCCGCTATTCTATTTAAATCTTATTTCTCCTCTAGTTAATAAAAAGATATACATTTTTGTTTTCCATAATTACCACTGCATGCATTGCCTGGGCATAAGCTCTTACCTTTTCCCTAAAAACATGATTTTTTGTCATAACTTATAATATACCGGCCTCGATAGTCTGGCGGTTATACCACTTTACTTCTGTTGTTTGTATCAGCCTGGGTATTTACAAAAAAAAAACATCTAAGTATAATATTTAGATCAGTTATCTAGTACCCATAACACAAGCTCTGCTTACCGTGGGACTAGATAGCGCTGAGTTATTTGTCTAGGGGTATTATTATTATTAATAGTAATACTCACTCAGGCATAATGTAGTAATAAATACACCTAAATTTAAGGAAACAACACTGCACAATATAAAAAAAATACAAACTAAAAATTAATCTGAAAACTGAAAAGATTTTATAAAAACATCTCTGTATGACAGGAGTGATATACTTGAAAAAATAATTCAATATTTTTTATGAATTTTCAAGTTGGTTTTGTTTTCAATTCGAAAATTGCAAAAGGTTCTATTAAAATCATATGGACTGTTTTCGACCAACTTTGAAAAGGAGAGTGTACTTTATCGAATGTTTTGTATCTGATTTAATTCTCCTTGTCATCAATCCAGACTCTTTCCCATGTTATGTCTTTGCCAACATAAAATGATCAAATTCTATGTTTGAAATATTTGCAAAATTATTTATGTTTATTGAAACATCTATATATTGGGATATTACGGTCACGAAAAACTGTTACCGTCCGGTGGCCCCTCCACGGTAGACGATATATCGCGTTGTGAGGGAAAGAAAAAGGCTGGTGGCGGCGGAGAAAGGACAACGGCAGCCCGTTGAAGTTTTACTTCTATGTGTCCCAGCACATATTCCTTTTTTATTTTCTGCTATGGATGTAACAAGTAATGTACGCTATAATAATAATGTATTTCGAAATGTATTACAGACTAAAAAGTTGAATAACCTTTTTAATCTGTGTTATTTCTTGTTCCGCTGTCTCATCATCTCCTGCGTTGTATATAATAGTTTTACGAGAAATTGTTGTAAAAATAAATAAAATATAGGTTAATTGTATCATATCTATATTTTAGTATTTGTAAGACGTCTGCACAATTTCAAACCTGATCAATTATCTAAATATTTATATACGAAGATATCTTGACTTCATAATGAACTATTACTATTACGGGAATTCAAAGGACGTGAGTTCGAATATCGCGGATGAAAAACACTGTTAAAAGACTGATATAATATAATATACAGACAGAGATATAGAGACGAATATCTATAATATGTACAAAGAGTGTAGATTTCATAATATTATTAGAAAAATATATGTATAATAGAAAAAAGTAGACTCCGGAACACTTGCACTAATTTGAGAAATTATTGAACAAATTGAAAGGTGTAATATCCCGTACAGATTTGACTATATACTATACTATCTCCAACATATAAAATTCTCGTGTCACAGTGTTAGTTGCCATACTTCTCCGTAACGGCTTGACTGATTTTGATGAAATTTTATATATGTACTCAGTAGATCTGAGAATTAGTTGTTATCTATTATTTATAGCCCAAAGGGTGGCCCGGCCCACCCCTAAAAACATTTTTAATTTCTTGGCATATTTTTTTTATAATACCGATATTCGGCATTAAAATATGTACAACCCTAAATTTTGACCTTTCTATCATCAACCTCTATTTTTTACTAGTTATATTAATTAATATGGCAAAACAGCGATTACCGGATATCCAGTGTTAATATAAAATACTCATAAAGTTACGAGCATACGAGTGAAGCTGGGACGGACATATGTTTTTTTAATTATATTTTATGGATAATAATGGAATGCTACAACCCCCTGCGCAAACGGCATACGCTGGCGGGGCAATTAGCCCATCGTGGCAAATTCACCACGATTATAACATGATGATTTCCAGGGGGAACCACGTGGAGGTCGACCTGACACATATTGCAAGCAATGAGGGTATTAATCCACATTACTAACAATCCATTCCCCCTCAAAGCTACATTTTATTTTAATATATAAAATACTAACAAACACTCGTACGAGTGAAGCTAGGAGGAACGTATGTTGTAAATAAATGAATCACAATTAAATTAATAATAAACCTATTATTATTAATTAATTAACGCGTTCGCATTTCAATGATAAATTATGTTTAAATCTTGATATAATACAAATTATGCAGAAGTTACGCTAAGTAGTAATAGAGTTATCATATGATAAATATAATCATGGTTTAGTCTAACGTAACGTATATATGTATATGCTTGTATACAGTATCGCGGGATATTCATTCAGTGCTATAATCATAGTGTTCGTATAAAGACGTACGCTTTATATATTTTTGTAAGTACTATCAATTTAATTAATTTTTACGTTGTTTTACGCTTACAGTTGTTAAACAACATAAATTGTTTATAAAGTTATCCTTTAATATTTATTTATTCTTAATAAAGTGTAAAATTTGCGAGATATATAAAAAGATTTGTCAATTTATTAAGTTAGTTGTTATTATTTTTTTACAATTAGATAATTCATTATTATTTATTTAGTTTTAGTTGATCATTTTTTGCTTTTATCGACCATGTAATATAAATATTTGTATTGTAAATCATATTTGAGAATGCAGTTAAATTACTATTTATTTTTATTGTTCACAAAAGGCAGATGTAGGTATATAATGTAATTGAACCTAAGAAAACATATGTGGGTTCTTTATTACAGTTTGCAATTTTATTTATAAATTTATATTTAGTCAATAAAAACAGACATGTGTGTAAAGTAATTACATATAACAGTAATCACAATTACTTTATATTAATAATAACAAACTATTGGATTAAAATATATACATACTGGAAATGTTTGCAATTTCATAAAGATAATATAATAAAAATACCTACATATGTAATGTAATTCAGACTAAGAATTTATTACAATTATAAATTCTATTTATAAAATAAATATTTAGTCAATAAAAGCCAAACATGTGTGTAAAATATTCACATACATGAATATGATTACTTGTTTGCAATAATAAATTATTGGAATAAAATATATACTTACTTACCTTAAGTATTTGCAAATTTATTAACTTATATTATAATAAAAAATATACGTAATTTAATGTTAATGCAAATGTTCTATACATTTCTGTATTAAATGGTAGAGATTTTCAAATATCTCTCTGCTTATACTCGGATGATTTAAATTAGGTTTTCTAGCTCAATCTACTTTGTTCTTTTACTTATTTTACTCCTGACACTTTGTCAATAGACTGGTCGACTTTTAGGCCTATAAATTATTGTTTTTTATAGACCGCAAACATGGTTTTATTATAGTCCTCCTAGACCTCTCTAGTGTTTTATGAAGCAAATAAAATAAAAGCGCGGCAGTTAGTTGACGATATGAAGACTACATGTGTGGCGCGGAGTTTGGGCTCGAAGAGATTACATTTGATAAAATGCATTGTAACTAAATTTTATCTTACACATAACTGCAGTGATAAACAAACTGACGGTCAACCTTATGGTGAATGACAACCTTTGATATACATGAACAGCACCGTTCACATGTTGTCGTTATATATTCATCGAATTAGGTGTTATTTGCGGAAAATCATTACATTATTTAAGGGTTTTATACTATTTTACTCAAATCTACCATTAGCATGTATGAAACACAAATATTCAGTGCCGGGAGTTGTGAAACGTTACGATATTCTCTAATGGTGATCAAATTCTGACCATTATTGAATGTAGGTACACCCATATTGAATATTTGTGATCTTACATATGCTAATGGTAGAGAAATTAAACAAAACAATATAAATGCATCAAGTTGTCATGTTACGGTCGTAGTATCCCCAGGCATCACACTTAGACTAAGGTGTCACGCTTCCGTGCACTATTTATCATAGTAGTTTTAAGATCATATGCCATCTTTTAATGAAATCTAAACACAACTTTAAAACTAAAACAGAGGTAATCTCTCCAGACATTGTTGTACAAAGTCTACTTAAAAAAAAGTAGATTTATGTACAAGGACGTATTTTTCAATTGGAATAGAATTAATCCTTTTTTCTAAATAATACTAAACTCAGTTCTTAGAAACTTATTTTACTCGAGTACGCCCATAATCGAAACTCGCAACGTTTGCCTTATCTGTCAATTCCCAATAATAATTAAACAATATTATAATTTTTATGAGACATAAAAAGCATATACTTAGTTATCTATGTAGAGTTTATTTGGAGCAATATAATTCATATTAATTTTTATTTTATTATTTTCAATCGGACCGGAATAAAAAAAAGAATGTGCACCTATTTGTCTTTTTGACACCCTCCTAGCCAGGGAAACACTTAGAATAAACCAATCTGAAAGGTATAGGTGGGCAACCACGTTAAAATCAAACATAGGCACTCGGTAATTTTTTTTTCTTTTTTTTGCGATATTTGTATTCAAATTTAACGATGACAATCCTATCGTACATGTACTAAATAACAAAAAAAAAACTGAAATTTATGTGATACCAGCTAGATCGATAAATTCCAGAGAATATCAGAGCTGCATTCGAAGCTGTCTCTGCGTATATTTTATGAAATACACCTATCTCTAACCTACTTAACTAGGGAGGAATGGGATTGTTAGTAATGAGGACTTGAAGACCCTATTCGTTGGAAAGCATCAAGTCAGGTTAACCTCCATGCGGTTCCCCCTGGAAACTGTGATAAATTCCTATGTAATTTGTCAAGATCGGCTAACTCACCTGACCTCATGCTTATTTTATCATTCTTCACTGGCTCTTGGATCCTAGCATCCAACACAGGCTGGAGCATAATTTCATTATCATTCTTAAAAAAAAACTATTTAACTTAAAGGGTTGGATGATGTAGTCTTCTGGATGCATTACCCACTGCGGTCACGTAGGTATATGATTATTGCATTTGACTATTTGTTTCAGATAATAACATTTTTTGGAAAATATAAATACAATGGCAACTTGCGATTGCGATAACATATTGCCACAAGGAAGTGTGCAAGAAAAACATTACGACAATTGCAGACAAGTTTGGGCTGAGCGCCAGCCGGCCTTCCTGCCTTTATTGAAGTTAGTATTTTTTTCAATCAATAGTAATAATATGTAATATTTCAGAACAATTCACACCACGCCATCTAGTCTCGAGTTAAGCAAAACTTGTGTAATGAGTACTAGACAACTCATACAAATACATTGATGATTAATTTTGTAAATACATAGACAATTTATATATAGAAGCTGTGCGAGGAATTGAACCTGTGACGATCAGAAGTAAGACGTTGTGATAAACGGCTAGACCACTGAGGCAGTCAATAATAATAAAAACATAAGGAAGTGCTTTTTATTCGTACCTATATTTCTATGGATCAATAATGAATAGTGCAATGTTCTTTCTATTCTGGTTATATAATTTTAGAAATAGAAATAATCTTATATTAATTAAGCACTTTAGAATAGTCACATTTTTGACCAAATCTAATAGTATAAAATGAAGACACCTCAGTTGTTTGTACATTTACAATTTTTAAATTACGCAATGGATTGTAATGTAATGTATTTAGCAATAGAATGATTTAAGAGGAAGGTTAATTATAATATAATTTGAATCAAATAATATATGGTATGGTAATGGTATAATTTAAATCAAAATAATGATTTTATATAATTAATACTACTAATTATCACCAAATACTATTCATATTAAAGTTTGACTCTACGAGTATGTTTTGAGCAATGCGCTATGTAACTTAATTAAAAAAAAATATGCGAACACATTAATTTGTAAGTAAACACAATATACTGTCTCTATTAGTATAAGATATATTTGCTATTCTAAGCTATTTGTTTTTTTGCTTACAATTCGCGATATAACTCATGCGTTGGACTGTTGATTTCATGCCTCTTATCCTAAATTATTTTCATTTATTTTATTTTATTTCTTAAAAGTAATACACAAAAAAACTTTAACATTACTTATAAACACCAACTAGTTGTGTTATAGTGGGTTCCGTACTGTTATTTTCTAATTGCACAAGAATTTTTCTTATTTTTTCTATTTATATTAAAATTTAATTTCAGGAATGAAGACGGTACCATTCGTCTTATAAATAAGAATGTGTTAGATTTGGACAAAGATGTGCTCTATCACTTTTCCTTTACGAATAAAAGTATTGATTTGCAAGCTGAGTTCGGTGATGTGAAAGTAAGTGTAAATACAATACTTATATACCTTATAGACTAATATACTGATTAAAAAATATGATATCTGATCCTAAATCAAAAATCAAAATAAAACTATCTTTATTTACATAGTATATTACAGATTATTATGATATATCAAATCTACCTGCCGACATTCGAGTACTTTCGATATAAGATGAACCAACAAGTAACTTACTTCTTATTCTTTTCAAATGCGTTTTTACATGTTTACAAAAACAAATTCATTTTTAAATTCAAATTTTAATCTTTCAACCGAAATAAAAGTTAAAAGGAAAGCTGATTTGCAGCATAAAACTTTTCACAAGGACATAAGTTCTACGGTGTAACCATTGTAGGTAATGTTGTACTCTTTTAACGATGGGCTTAGGCCACCTTTAGCTAGCATGTATATATTCTTTCATTGCACCGTTAGCTAGTATATATTCTTTCATTCATTCATACACAAAGAGCCATGCTCTTGTCGGTGGATTTCATACAATTTTTCATGAACTTCCGTGTTTATTTTCTCATTATTTCAGTTTGTCTGTACTGGAGGCACTGCAAGTAGGCTCAAGGAATTTGCTCTATACATGGCGAAGAGACTTGGCATCCCAGCCGATGAAAACATAAAAGACTGGACCAAAATATCTAACAGATACTCCATGTTCAAAGTTGGACCAATATTGGCTTTCAATGTGAGTATTGATTTTATTAAATATAAATATCGCGAATATTTTTGGACGGTTGTATGAACGATTGGATCTTTTACGTAAATTTATTGATTAGATTTGAATGAAATTCGGTGACAGATGATATTCTAGGTTAGTTGAATTTGCATGACATGTTGTTTCATACAGAATCGGGGGCGACTACTTGTCAGACTAAATGCAGGAAAGCGCACGCGCGGTAAATCTCGGTTGGATTCATTTATTCTATTTTTTATGTGTTCATTCTATAGCAAGCGATTGCTTATGTATTTTATTCAGAGAGGAAATAATGCAATTGTACCCCGTAAGAATATGCTCGTGGGGTAACAGTTAGCGCATGCTGGTGCAACATTAGATATATATCCACTATTTACTTTGTTTATAGAAACGTGCTCGTGGAATTGTTATCTTTAACGTATGTTTTAAATACCAGTGTTTGCACACACGGTGTTTTCTTCATTTTACATTTCAGATAAATTTATTTGCAATGTAAAGGTAAAAAGGTTAAATTTAGTTGGTAAGTTACAAAAAAGTTAACAGTAAACATTTCTTTTACATGCTTACGCGCAAATCCACATTCGCGCGTTAACGTGTAAATTGCGATCAGCACAAGTAATAAATTTTGATGAATTATACCGTAGTATATAGAGATAAACTGGACCCTGGGGCCACCTTTCACATCATAGACTATAATACATAGACACCAGAAAGATTTATTGTGGCGATTATCAATATAATTAACATTTATTTAGCACTTAAATTCGGCGATTTATCATACATAAACGACCCTTCTTATCGTTTATCATCTTTACCATGATAAAAAGATAGCCCATATATGTACATCCAAATAAAGATATAACAGATCTTATCACCTTTATTGTAGTGAGTATGCACCTGTCACCAATTAAGCGACTGTCGAAACTTGACGTGCGAAAGCGGGAATTAAAATAGTTGCTCAGATTTCGGAAAATTCTAATCTTCTTTATTTTTCGTCCTGCATGAAACTTCTACAAGTAAAAGAAAAGTCAGAATAAATAAAAAAAGATGTGTTGTGGTCAAGGTATCAATCCGCTGTTCATGTTCATAGACGATGGTTATCTTTTTCCATCAAATTGTCTGCCATATATATATACGAGAAAACTGAACCGTGACATTTTCAGTCTCCAAACCGAAACACAGTTTACAAAACAACCTGTTTGGAACTGATATAGGAAGCGGAGGTAATAGTGTAAATGACTTTGTACGAAATTCTATGGATAATCTCATAATAGATCCTCCTAATAGTCCTCAAATAGATAGTCTTAATCAAAATCTAGGTTAAATAGATAATAGTTCTTAAAAAGATCTTGGCCTGTTAGGTTAGGTTAGGTTCATTCATTCTTCCTATATCATAACATACTTTATTGGAACTAAAATTGATAGATAACATTTTTATTTAAATAAACAAAATATAAGCACTTTAGAATGGTATTTTTTTTATTCTCTCACTCATTCGGAAAGTAGATTCAGCATAAGAAGAACGCCCAATGAACTTGCGTTCTTGCTCTTTTAAACAAATGTTGTTAATTTATTATGATTTTGTATCACATATAGAACTCCGAGCAGTTCCCTCTCTGCCAGAGAGGTAACTACTCGGTGTTTCCCTCTCTGCCACAGGATGAACTACGCACGGAGAACCTATGGAATACTTAGATGTTCTCTTTCACATTTTCAGCATGGCATCGGTATACCGTCGATGACAATCGCTATCCAAGAGGCCATCAAGATGTTGTACTATGCAAAAGTGAAGAATCCAATTTTCTTCAGGATCGGCACCTGCGGAGGTTTAGCGGTTGAAGCCGGCTCAGTAGTCATATCTGAATGGGGCCTTAATGGGTTGCTGAAGAAGTCTTATGATTTAGTAAGTATTATTCTTTGACTTGTGAAATATCTTCAAGCCATTGTGCATTGCAATAAAATATATACTAAATGTTACGGAAGCCTATTACAATTTATAGGTGAAAACCCGCATTTTAAATTACGATATAAACACAGATAATAAAATAGAGAATATTTTTATAGACCAATGTCAAAAAAACTTGTCAATAAAGTTTTGTAAAATATGTTATTTAAAAAAAGTTCTTGTAGTCTTTCTTGTAATGACTACAAGAAAGACTGTTGGATGTTCAATTCAAATGGGGATCGAAATTATGATGGCCTGAGCTAGGTTCGAACCTCTAGCGGTGCCCTCTAGGGATTCTAATCTCGGACTGCCCTCAGACTAAAGTCGTATCCGTCAGGCGGGAGTTAGCCTTCATCGGGTTTGGAGAGTCTGCACTCGCCCCCTATCTTCCGTTGAAACTGTTAAGGCCAGTTGTTGTCGACAGACTAGTCCGAAAAAAAACTACCTTGATCAATGAATCGTGAATCTAGGACCTAGGGAAGAGGTGTTAGATGTCATGATTTTTTTATACAAAATTTGTGATCTCTCCAACCTCTTGTTATACAATGTCACACTTTGTCGACCCTCGCTTACTCGATGCGCCCTTACCATTAAAATCCAATTTATCACTGATACCTTAATGAGAATTTTATTCGTAGATTAACTCTTATTGCATGTTTAACACTGTAGTTCGTTACGTTATCACTTTTTATGTACCTCTCTCTGTATCCAGTCCCTCATTCTTGAAGATCGTCCATATCCTATGCGATCTTGTGGCTTGCAGAGTGTTTGGCAGGCTGACAGGGTCGCCATGAATAGAATAGAATAGAAAATCATTTATTCAAATAAACTTTTGAATAGTCACAACATTTTTTTTTTAATCTACCGCTCATTCGGAAAGCTGTCGTATCACAAAAAAAAACGAGCAAGAAATTTGCGTGTTGCTCTTTTAAATAATTTTATTAGTACTTTACATTTTTAAGTTTAATTGTGTGAATATAAACCACCAATTAGCACTAATTCAATTAAATACTCAAATAGAAAAAATATTGAATATATAACCAACTGGTTAAACAATTAGTAAGAGGAAATCAGTCATAGTGATTAGAGCAGACCAGTCCCTACAAGCAGCACCCGTTAGATATGAGTACGAAGTTATACTAAGTATTGTCTTAATAGTCCGCATTATTTAATAACAAGCTGACTCACGCTCACGCGATGGGTTCGCATTTACCCCGTTTTTACAAGATCCACTTCACTTCACTTCACTGTAGCTCCACTCCTATTGGCTTTCTATTGTTAAGGAATTTTCGTATTCAGCTCAGAAGCTCCAAAAGTTACCTCCTATAACCTCACAAACCTGTTTAAAATATTAGCATAGATAATATTAAAACCGCATCGCATGAATGATGGCTTGCTATTATTATTATCTTTTGTCACACTATTATTATATAAACTCAAAATTATTATCACCTCTCCGATCGGCGTACCGATGTTACTTTGATTGTTAAACTTGCTTTAAGTTCCACGATTCAGGCATAGATTCATGTGTTACTTCAGTTATGTTTTCTGAAATAAATGTTATTCTCATTCTTGGATGAAGCCGACGGTTGCCATTATCATCAAGTGGCCTGTTCAATTAAATAAAAAAAATAATTAAACTTTTTTTTATCATTGCTGTTGGCCGCAGCTCTATATATGCATATGGCACTCCAAACCAGCGGAAGGATTGAGCAACAGGAACAGGAAGCGGTTGAAGGCCAACTCCTGTCTGACGGATACGACTTTAGTCTGAGGTCGCCGCTATGGGTTCGAACCTTGGTATTGAAACGTGTTTTTTATCTTTTCAGCCTGTTCTTGGAAATATATACAGTGTACCTTCGATTTTGGATAAAAGACTTGCGCAAGAGATACAATTGGTTGCATCGGAAAGCAACAATAATTTTAAGGTATACCTTGGAGGAACTATGGGAACAGATGATTTCTATAGAGGTGAGATATGTATGATTGTTATGTTACATACTGGCTAGAGCATCGTGACCTTAGGTCCATAACGTCGTGAGTTCAAATCTGGATACCAAAAAAAAAATGAATTTATATTTCTTTCTGATTGACACTCCGGTGAAGGAAACTTCGAGAACATTCCGAAAATATAATTCGACAAACTGCGAAGGGCTGCGATTTTTCGCACGGCACAAACATTTATCTTCATGAGTACGATTGTTTTCTATATAAATGTTATTCTATATATAGATTGTGTATGTATTTACAAAATAAATGTATTTATATCAGGGTACTGGTAGGTACCCATAAAACAGGTTCTGCTTAGCTTCGGACTTGATAGCGCTGTGTGATTTGTCCTAAGATATTATTATTATATGAATCGAAAAATCGCTGCTTCTAACCGTATGAGCATGATGTCTCAGTACCAGTACTAATTTAATGGGTTTTATTTCATATACCTTTCAGGACAAGGGCGTCTCGATGGCCCTTTCTGCAATCATACTGAAGAACAGAAAAATGCATTTCTTAGGAAATTGTCGGATATGGGGGTCAGGAACATAGAAATGGAGGCGACTGCGTTTTCGGCGCTTATGACCGAGGCAGGCATTCGGGGCGCCATCGTTTGCGTGCCCTTCCTAGACCGTCTGCATGGCGATCAGGTTCGTAAAACTGATAATAGATGGCGCTATTCGAAAAAATCTTTTAAGTTGTTTTTATACTTGGCAAAGTTTATACCATACTATGTGTTCCCGCGGTTTCAACCGCATTCAATTTATAGCCTATATGTTATTTTGATGTAACAGCTAAATTTAAATATCTAAGTATTTATATCAGTTGTCTAGTATTCATAGCACAAGCTCTACTTGTCGTGGGATTAGATGGCGCCGTGTTAATTGTCCAGGGCAATTTATTTATTTAATATTTACTTTTATATTCTGTGATACTTACAGGTGACTACACCAAAAGAACAACTGGTCGAATGGGAAAATAATCCTATGAAAGTAGTTGGTGATTATATTGTCAAATACATTGAAAATCAAAAGCAATAGAGTATAAAGTGAGACGTTCTGACTTCATATGGAAAGCTGTTCGCTGGACCGAAATTAACCGAAAATCACAAATATACACAAAGGACCTGCTAAAGTTGCATAAAATTATCAAATGGACAGTCCAGTCCACTTCTATCATTTTATAGTAGTATATGCGAGTAGCTTGTATCTTGGCTTTGCACGACGACTCTTGACGTTGCTGCAATGCTCTTACAGGATGGAAATCCTACCATAAATAATAATATAGACTTATAGAAGAATGATCAATAAGATTTTTCATTGATTTATTAAAACAGCAACATATTTATACTATTATTTAAAAGAGCAACACGCAAGTTTCTTGCTCATTCTTCTTGTGATGAGACAGCTTTCCGAATGAGCGGTAGATAAAAAAATCGTGATGACTATTTAAAAGTGCTTAAATTAAGTTTATTTGAATTTGATTTTTTTGATTGATTTCTTTTATTGTGTCCACAATTATTTATAATAATATACAATATGTTAATTGAAATTTATGACGTATTATTAAATATACCTAGCAAATAATAAAACTGTACTATTTTATGTAGAACTAACAATTATTCATAAATGTAAGACATATGAGAGATCCTTCGCACAATTCAGCGTATGTGAGACACGTAAAACAAATTTTTCACAGATAGAGATATTTTTTTCCTTCATGAATTTCAGATATTAATATCTGCCAATACCTATAATATTTATATATAAACTGTATTTGTTCGTACTTTGTGTTTTTGGTTAATTTTTATTAGCTAGAATATCGTTTTGTCATTTGCGAATATTTTTTTGGATTGAAATATTGTTTTTATTTTTTTATTTTGCTTTGAGTTTATTTCGCTATATTTATTTTGAATATGTATTCAGTTTGACTTTAAAATAAATTAAATTATAATAACTTAATCGTGATGGTCATTATCCCTTTCTTACCCCGTAGCTCAGTACGCACCAATAGAGATACAAGAAATAAAAACAAAAGTTTGAAATAGAAGCACGTACTCGAGGCGTTCCTATCACTAATGCAATTTCTTCTTCTTTCTTCCTTTGGTAAGAAAGTATAACTAAAAATAAAGTAGGCGACAAATGAGTGGAAATAAGTTAATAACAAAAATCGAAAAGCTGATGTACATGTAAATAAAATAAAATTTTGCGCATGGATTAACATCGGAATGGGTTTAATATGTAACTTAATACTAATACAAAATATACAACTAAATATAAATACCTATATAAATACGGTTTTTTTCTAGTTTTCCATTTTTTACATCGATGTATGTACAGGTATTTGGCTTTTTTCCTTTTTTATTATTATATTGTGGAACCGAGTGTGAATTTCATTATCTTATAAGTGACACACGAAATATCGTAGGTAGTATATTAGATATCATCTGTGTACGTTTATTATTTAATTAAATGTCTCAATAAAATAATTTCATTAAACAATTCCGCGACATTAATGTCTTGTTTGAAAAATGTTTCACGCAGTACAACCTGAATAGATATATAAATACGTATCTGTACCCTGAAATTCGGCGCAGCGGTGTCTATGTGCGCAGTGCTTTCCCTCCAAATCTTTTACGTCAGTACGTTGTGTAAATTGTCAGGGGCTGGGGCTTTCCGCGTCGACAGCCGCCCTATTTGTTATAGCAATCCAAAATTCCTTTATTAAAACACCTATTTATGTTTTAAAAAAAGTACATATTGGCGGGATTAAAGAGTGCTGACGATTTAAGTGCTGTGATTAACTAAAAATCTATTGTTTAAAGTGCTATTTTAATATATGATTATTGTGTAATTGTTATTATGAATTAATATAACATTATTATTCTTTAATATTAATTATTATTGTGATATTAGTTTGTGTTTTGTGTAGACGTTTGCTTTTGCAAATTTTTACGGAAATGGCGAATGTTGGTAAGTACTTGTTTATGTAATTTGTCGACGGTTTTTGCAATGTAGAATAGTGATAAGTGAACACATCAATTTTTTTAGATGATCTTATTTAGCGGTAAATTTTTTTAAACACAACGCTAATAAGACACTATAAGTCATGTTAATGGCGAACTCAACTCGACTTTTGGCCGATGTAGATTAAATCGTTTCAAAACAAAATTATTACAAAATTCACTAAATTTAAAAAAAAGTCGTCAGCGTGGGTACTTTTACGCACCTATTTAAACCGCCAAGAAGTCTGCTTTGTAAGTTGTGTTTCGGATGTAGGGTTCGATTAAGCAGTGAAATTACAGGATAAGAGACATGACATTTTAGTCTTCTGGAATGGCGACACAAGAGTGTCGACATGACAACGTGATGTCCATAGTACTGTTCATGTATATAAGCGGCTATTAGGTACTGTAGGTAGGTCGTTAACTTATTTGCTATTCCTATTATGTAAAAGAAATTAAGTGTAGTAAACCCCAGAATTCTCTGTTACAAATATTAGTGAACATCTGGACCACAACGCTCTCAGCATTTGGTGTATATTGAACCAGGGATGTCAACTGCATGAGAATCGTCTCTATTGTTAGTAATGTGGAGATAACTCTATTGTTAGTAATGTACCGAGTTAGGTTGACTTCAACGCGGTTCCTCCTGGAAACCATCGCGATAAATTCCTGGTAAATTTATCACGATACTAACTAATCTGACCATATTGTCATCTTATCACCTTCCACTGGTGACGCGCCAGCGTAGTAAGTATACATAATTTCATTAGTATACATCATTACAACCAGGAAAAAAAAAATGCTTAGAGATGTTTGGTACATGGTACGAAATATGACGCAGGGAAAATTATATTTATTTTTCACTGCAACCGGCACTACCTGCAATTTAGCCAATTAAATAGGTATTCTGAATTATGGGTATTCTGAATTATAGGTATTCGGTATTATGAAATATGATGGCTCATGTGATGGTAAGCGGTGACCGTCACCTACATGCATGAAAATCACTACGCTATAGATGCGTTAGGTATGTTATTGATGCGTTAATATTATATTGGAATTGTTCGGATTAATAATACCAGCTGCTGAGTATCACCACCGTAAACTAAAAGCAAACCGAAACAACGCTAGAAACTAAAATACCATCCTGATCATCTGGATGAATGGCAGTCCTCCACAGTGCGGTTTTCTAGAAACTTTTTGCCACGCACAACCACGTTGTAGAAACACCTTCCAGCACTGGTATTTCCGAACCTATACGATATTGAAACCTTCAAGAAAAGACTTTATTACTATTTAAAAGGCCGGCAAGGTACTTGCAATTCCCCTGGTGGTGCTCATGGGCGGCGGTAATCACTTACCATCAGAGAGACGCAAGCTCGGTTGTCCCCTGTGCTATAAAAAAAAATATTATGGCGATATTACACATTACTGATGCGTTGCTATTACATCCTACAGTTGATTAAGATGTCATTCTGCTTAATATCTATTTTTTGTCTGTTCATGCACCATATTTTGCTTAATCAATAACAAAATACTTAATTAAACTTTTATAAAATAATCAAATAATATATTTTCAATAATTTTATCCTACATAGGGTAGACAGAAACATTGGCTACTGCAGAAGCATTGTTGACAATTCAACAGCTAACATTTCACTGAGCACCTCAATCGAACACAGCAGTACGTTTGATTAATTTGGTTTGTTAACGGTGCTTCCATCAATGGCAAGTTAGACATAAATATAAATGGAATTTAACGGTTTTTTGTTTCAATCAGATTCAACCTCGCAACATTCTCGTCTAAGTCGGGATAGTAAATCAGTAGGCCCGACTTTATGGTCATATATTGAGGAGAAAATAAATCAACCAAGACACATGGAAGGGTACGTACAAACTACGTAAGTTATGCGACATATTCTATGTCAGCTCTACGTCTTGATGCTGTCAATTCTTTGCTATTTTTTGACGCTACCATATAAATATTTATACTTTTGAGTTGGTTATCACCTATTTGAATAACCACATGTGATATTTATTGATTGTTTATTGAAAAGAAATTGTTTGTTACACAGTAGAATACAGCATTTTTTTCTAATAAAACAATACCATATGTTCCTAATAAATAGAAGAGAGGATTCTTTCTTCCACCTGCCACATAATTTCCATTTCTAACCGTATTCGATATATATCGATTTACCTTCATACCATTTTATTACTATGTCCTTTATGCATGACTAAGTGGAGAGTAGGTTTTATTATCTGATTTGTAAACAGAACACGATACTTGTCAGAAATATTTGGGTCAAGAGACTGTTACAATTGGAGGGCCCATTGACTGGCTAAATTATTCTGTTCAGTCGCATTTTAACCCCAAAGTAAATAGGGAAAGAAAATAGGGTGTATGTATTATAGATGTAGTAGAGTGGTGTACCTGTATGTCCTTACGGTATACTCTTGAAAGGTACCATGATAGTGTTTCAAGTTAGGTCAGTTAGCCCTACCTGATGAGTTCATAAAGATTCTAATACGATCGTTTCAAGGGGGATCTCAGAGAAGTCAAACCAATAAGGAACATTGCTATCAATACAGTCATTCCCGTCACTAACAAGTCGTCCCATAAGAAAAGATATTGTTAGTGATAATAGGAACAAGTTGCCTCATTACTAACAATGTACCATCAGGTCGACCTCCACGCGGCCCCCTGGAAACTATCGTCATAATTTTTAGTACATTTGCGACGATGGCTAACTTACCTGATTTCATGCTCATCTTATCATTACCCACTGAATTTCTCTGTAAACACAAACAAATAAACAATTTTCTCCCCTTCAATAAAGTAGTTAAATGCTAACACCCCTCTCTTTTCGTCACTCCTAGATGATAAGTCATGAGAAGTTCCTCCGTGTTCATGTAAAGAGGCGACAATTGTTACTTTTCATCAGATGGGCTGTCAGCTGGCTTATTATTAAAGTAGCATAATAAATTAAATAAAAAAATATATTCAACCTGAAAAAAAGAATATTAACATTATTATCGTTAACGAATTCTTCAATTTTATAGTAAGCTTTTTTGCAAA